ATGCGGTCCAAGCTCTGTTTATATTGTGGCGGGGCGGGCCATTTTGTTGCCTCTTGTCCTCTGTTGGGAAAAGCCAGGGTCCACCAGTAGAGAGAGGGCTACTGGCGGACCAGAAGATTTCCCCCTCCTCACCTCGTCTACTCCTTCCTGCATCTCTGCTGCTAAATAATAGATCCATCTCCTTATCGGCTCTGATAGATTCTGGCTATGAACAGAATCTAATTGACTTAATTTTGCTCAACAGATGGGAATAGAGCTTATTCCCCTACAGAACCCTCTTCGTGTTTTTGCCTTGGATGGGAGAGATCTGCCCCAAATAACTCACCAGACTACTCCTCTACAACTAACAGTTTCTGGTAACCACATTAAAAACATCTCTTTTTTTTTTTTCATTACAGCTAACTCAGCTTTAACTTTGGGTTGCGAATGGCTCCAAGCTCACAATCCCTCAATTAATTGGACCAACAGACATGTGGACTCATGGTCTGTTTATTGTCACTCACACTGTCTCAGATCTGCTGTTCCCCCAGGTTCAGGACTCTAGTGAGTCAGACACCATTGATCTCTCTTCCGTCCCTGCCGACTACCACGACCTCTCCCAGGTATTCAGTAAATCCAAAGCCTGTTCTCTGCCTTCCCACAGACCGACTCAGACAAACTCTGGAAAACAATACAGAGATTGGAATCAAAGATCCTTCACTTCACTTGAAACATGAGTCAACAACCAGATGCTCTTCTTCAAATCAACGAATAAAATTTCCCACTGAGCCTGAACTAATATTCTGTCTTCCCCTCACCTTCCAGTTCCGGCAGAGCGGAATTCAGAGCAACACTGCACCGGGCTTAACCTCTTCAATAAAACCGGTTAAACTTTTCATCTGTGTCTCTCTGAATTGGTTTCACTGCATCTGGGTCCGAGCTTTAGATAAATTCATGACAGTTTGAAGGGGTGAAAATACTTTCAGGAGGCGCTGTAGGCAAACAGAGACTCTGAGTGAAGTCAGCTGCTAGAATATGCAACTGTTTGCATGATTTTAGTCACTTATGCTCATTCGTCTTTGCAGGATTTTCCATGGATCGTCGCTGATGAGCAGGAAGTTCACATGAAGGAGCCCAGACTCATTCCACTGAAGTCCATGACGTCCGACATAATTAAAGTGAGCCGAAAGGAAAAACTTTCACAAAACCCTGCTGGGTTCTAATGTACAGTTCATCCAAAGGCTTCTTCCTGTGATGCTATTTTCTGTATTGTCCTCCATATTGTGTGCTGAAATGCGTCTGTTTACTGTTACTCATATTTGTTTGTTTGGCTTTCACAGATGCAGCTCTATGTGGAGGAGAGAGCCCAGAAAACGTAAGGAGAAAAACAACAGATCATTCTGGGCAAGCTGATCGGTGACAGCTGCACATAATCAGCTGAATATTTATCCCAGCCTGTCGCTGCAAGATCAGTTCTAATGAAGACATGGCGTCAGGAAATGTTTAATATTCCTCATGGAAACTATCTGCAGGGCTTTCCTATCTTTGCTCTTGCATTGTACATCAGACTGAAACATTGGGATGCTGTCTGAGAAATAAAAAATGAAACATCCTGCTGGGAAAGATGATTTACTGTGTGTGAAATAGTAACTCCACTGTTGGTGTAATGAATGATGTTGATGACATTTGTGAATCTTAAAGGAATAGTACACCCAAAACATGATTAGCCTTCATTTTCTACTCACCCCCATGCTGAACAACACTCTGGAGTACTTTTTTGATATCTCAAATGCATCTGGAGATCTGGGAGGCTTGTTGCTGTCTGCTGACATTCAAATAATGGAGGTCCATAGCGCCTGAGGCAGAAAGGTCCATAAAAGTCCACAAAAAATGTGTCAATATTCCTCCATACTGCTCGTCCAATGTATTTCAAGTGTCCTGAGTGGGTAGCGTCCATAATTTACTCGAAACGAAGTCATTCAGAATGTTTTTAGAGCATAAACAGTAGTGTATAGGATTTCCTAAAAGCGAGTTCACGAGCCTACAGAAACTGCGGCAGACCAAACCAGATGAAAGTGCGCATTCAGCGTCTGCTCTTGATAATGCAAGCGTAGAAGAAGAAATGTGCTGTTTACCTGTGCAAAGAAAGAAACAACGAAAGAAAAATGTCTGAGGACTTCAGTGTTGAGGAAGAGCATGAGTTCTTTGCCGAGCTGAATGCGCACTTTCATCTGGTATGGTCTGCCGCGGTCTCCGTAGGCTCGTGAACTCGCAGACGCGCGCTTTTAGGAAATCCTATACACTACTGTTTATGCTCTAAAAACATTCTAAATGACTTTGTTTCGAGTAAATTATGGACTCTACCCACTCAGGACACTTGGAATACATTGGACGAGCAGTATGGAGGAATATTGACACGTTTTTTGTGGACTTTTATGGACCTTTCTGCCTCGGGCGCCATAGATCTCCATTATTTGAATGTCAGCAGACAGCAAGAAGCCTTCCAGATCTCCAGATGCATTTGAGATATCAAAAAAGTACTCCAGAGTGTTGTTCAGCATGGGGGTGAGTAGAAAATGAAGGCTAATCATGTTTGGGTGTACTATTCCTTTAAGTACTGCTTTGTTTTGCCAATGATTCCCCTTGTCTTTTGAATTTACAGTAACTATATATTGTGCATTACAAAATCACATAACACCTAAGTCAGACATTTTAGTTGTGTTAGAGAAAAGGATTGTATGTATAATTAATCAGCAAGTTATTGGGGATGGTTAACTTTTACAACCGCTTTATCCCCAAAGCAGCACAACTTCTGCAGCCGCTTTACGGCGCTCTCAAACAGAAAAAAGCCACCGACAGCATCGAATGGGTCCCTGAACGCCTTCAGGGGTTTGGTGACGCTAAGTCTGCTTTAGCCGATGCTGCTCTTCTGGCCCACCCTTCCCAGTCAGCACAGATAGCATTGACAACTGATGCATCTGACGTGGCAGTGGGGGCAGTTTTGGAGCTGCGCGTCTCAGGTGTTTGGCAGCCACTTGCTTTTTTCAGCCGTACTTTGCGTGTCAATGAACGCAAATACAGTGTTTTTGATAGAGAGCTGCTTGCTCTCTACCTGGCTACTAGCCATTTTAGATATTTTCTGGAGGACCGCTCATTTACTGCCTTTGTGGACCACAAGCCCCTCATCTTCGCCATGTCCAAAACATCTGACCCCTGGTCCGCACCACAGCAACGCCACCTTGCTGCCATTTCTGAATTCACGACTGACATTCAGCATGTTGCCGGCGAGTCCAACTTAGTAGCCGACTGTCTGTCCCATGCTCTGATCTCCCCAGTTTATGTCGGTATCGATTTTTCTGCTATGGCTGCAGAGCAGAGCAGTTATGCAGACATCCTTGCATTACCGTCTACCACGGGCCTCCAGCTGGAGGAAAGACAGATACAGGAAGGTGGTCCTCCTCTGATCTGTGATGTCTCTACTGGCTGTCCCCGCCCTCTGGTTCCTGTTTCGTGGCGCCGCCGGGTTTTTGACACTTTACACTCCCTCTCACATCCCGGCATTAGGGCCTGAGTAAAACTGGTTGGTTCTAAATTAGTTTGGACTGGACTGCACAAAACAGTTAGAGAATGGGCTGCAGCCTGTGTCCAGTGCCAGCGTGCTAAGATCCAGAGGCACACTAAAGCGCCCTTGGAACCATTTCCCATCCCTAACAAGCGGTTTGATCATGTGCATGTAGACCTTTTGGGTCCCCTTCCTCCATCACAGGGTTTCACACATCTCCTGACCATGATCGATCGCACTACCCGGTGGCCGGAAGTGGTACCCTTGTCATCCACAACGACAAAAAACGTTGCCCAAGTGGACTGAAATGTGGCGTAGGCGAATCAGGTAAAAATGCCCCAGGGACACGCAGGGGCTGACCGAAAACCAGTTCAGCTGTGGAAGCGCCAAGGTCCTCTTTAACGGCTGAACGCAAACCAAGCATGACCCATGGAAGGCGGTCAACCCAGTTGCCATCAGTCAAAGAAGCACGGCTTTCAATGACCTGTGGAACCGCTCACACAACCCATTAGCCTGCAGATTGTACGCAGTGGTGCGGTGGATCTTGACCCCCCACACCATCGGCCATGACGGACCAAAGCTCTGAAACGAACTGTGGGCCCCTGTCAGAGGTAATGTCAGAGGGAGGGCCAAAGCGTGCGACCCAGGTGGACAGAAAAGCTCGGGCCTGTGTCCAGTGCCAGCGTGCTAAGATCCAGAGGCACACTAAAGCGCCCTTGGAACCATTTCCCATCCCTAACAAGCAGTTTGATCATGTGCATGTAGACCTTTTGGGTCCCCTTCCTCCATCACAGGGTTTCACACATCTCCTGACCATGATCGATCGCACTACCCGGTGGCCGGAAGTGGTACCCCTGTCATCCACAACGACAGAAAAGCCCGGTTTGACTGATGGCAACTGGGTTGACCGCCTTCCATGGGTCATGCTTGGTTTACGTTCAGCCGTTAAAGAGGACCTTGGCGCTTCCACAGCTGAACTGGTTTTCGGTCAGCCCCTGCGTGTCCCTGGGGCATTTTTACCTGATTCGCCTACGCCACATTTCAGTCCACTTGGGCAACGTTTTTTCCCTCAGGGAGACTCCTTTCGTGTTCCTACCCCTGTTCACCATTGTTTGCCCCAGTCCTTTGTTGCTGGGACCTCTAAATTTGTTTTTGTTCGACACAATGCACACAGATCACCCCTACGACCTATGTATGATGGCCCTTTCAGAGTCCTTGAACCAGGCCTAAACATTTTCTTTTGGATTTGGGAGGGCGTAAGGAAACTATCTGTATTGATAGGCTCAAACCTGCTCATGTCCTGGCGGAAGATCAGGTGGTAACGGCCCAAGCTCCTCGCAGGGGAAGACCCCCCTCCACTATTTTAATGGACCACTGTTCTCCCTCCAGAGATCCTCTTCTATCGGAGCTCAATTCCCCTGCAGCCCCTCCGTGTCGCCCTCGTCCTCAGGCACGGATGTCCCAGGATCATCCTACAGGTTCCAAGTTCAGCCGTTTTGGACGTTTGTTGGGGGGCATATGTGGCGGACTCTCACTCAGTGCAGAGGTTGCAGTTATGTTTGTTCAGATGTGTATATATATATGGGTTTCTGTACAGTTGCTCTCAGTTGGAGTAGAGTAAAGAACTGTTTAAACCTGCCTGCTTTGTGTCGTCATCTTCACTCCTCCAGAGTTTAATCATATTTTTTTCACTTAAAGTCAACAATAACATATAAAATATACAGATAAACAAATAAATATGCCAGGAGGTATAATAATATAATCGTAATAAACAAGTACAGTCAGGAGGAAAGATAAACAAACTTACAAACCGATGTGTTTAGGAGTGTCATATATACGTATGCATATAAACATACATACATACATATATTATACAACTACACATATCTTCTATGTAGATAAATTGTCCAGAATATGTAGTTGGGAACATGTTGAAATGTTTTTTTGTGCCTTTTGGTGAGAAGTGGGTTTAATAGTACTAAAATATTGTTTAAGCACAATTAGATAAACATTAAAGTCTGGCTTTTATTTTAGAAATTTGAATTTATGCAAAGGACATTTAGCCAAGATAATTAACAGATTGATAAGGAAAGGTTTGGGGGACATTTTTTTGCAACTGAAAACCAAAGTCTTAGAGAGTATGGACACAACCAAAACAAATGTGTAACAGATTCTGGAGGAAGGTCACAAAATGTGCAGTTCACAATAACACCAAAACTAAGAAAAATTTAGAGAAGCCAATTAATCAAATTTTCATCTTTTTTGGAAAGCCGGAGTGCCCGGAGAGAAACCAAGGATGTACGGGGAGAACACGCAAATTACATGCGGAAAGACCCCAGGCCAGAAATCAAACCTGGAACCTTCTTTTGAAATAGTCCAATACTGAACACAAATTCTGGCCAGAATTTGATATTTTGAAAGAACCTGTTTTTTTCAGTATGGGAATACTTCCGGTTGAAAGAAGTATTCAAATGCATTATAAGCCACCGCTAAGGCCATTTCTTCCAGTGCATAGATGAAAACAGTTTTAGCAAAATATTTCAGGCATGTTTTACCGACCTCCCAACAACTTTTACGCTTAACTTGCTTTACAGTTTGAGTGTCTTTTTCAGCGTTAGATTGAGGCTGTTCAGATTCTGCTTGAGTCGATTTGTTTGCTTTCTCAGCCAAGATATTTTCCCCAGCATTTTCCCATCTTCTATTTAGATATTTTTCACATTGTTTTTCCTCTAGTTTTTCCTTCTCGCGTTGATTCTGTTCTTTAAGACTCTCTATTTTCACGTAAATCTCCTCAATCGTTTTCTGACATTGCTTAATCTTGGCCTCTTGCTTCACTTTATTTGCACGAAGAATTTGATTCTCAGATCGAAGGTGTGTGTTTGTTGGTTCATGTTCTTTATATTTGTTTATCTGGGCTTTTTGTGTTGTTATTAACTTGCCCTTGTCCACATTTTCTTGTTCGATCTCGTTCACCAGATTTTGAAGATATGCGTAATCTTTGTCCTGTTCTCTTTTCTTGGATTTAAGTGAAATTATAACATCATCTATTTTATCCCCCTTTTCCATCAAATATGTGTTGTGTTCCACTAATTCGTCGCGGGTCTCCAATAGTTTTTTCTGTCCTTCTATCTTACCTCTTAATTCTTCACCTTCTTTCTGGAGCTGTTTTATTTGCCCCTGATACTTTTCTTCCAAGGCATCTAACTCATCCTGAAGATTGTTATTTTCTTCTGTCTTCTGTCTAATCTGATGTAAAATTCTTTCATGCTTTTTTTGCAAGTCCTCCTCAGGTAGCAGTTGTTTATCCATCTTCCTGTGTGTTTTTTAAATGCAGGTTATTTGCAGTAATTTGTCAGAGCGTCTAATCCTACCATTGTCAACAGAAAACTGACCCGCGGTGTACTTACTGGGCCTGTTACGTCATAGTGACGCATCAAAGACACATAGAACGATACGCCCATCTGACTATTTTGTGACACGCCTCTCGTTCCATTTCGCGGGAACGCCCATCGCACTGTAATCGTTAAGGAAGTCACTAGAATGGGACCGCGTGGGCGATTTCTATAATAGATTCCACATTTTAACTAAGGTATTATCTATGTCCTCATAAACCTGTGCCTTAAAGTGACGGTAAAGGCATTTTGTCGCACAAAAGTATCCGCTGTCAAAGAATTTGGTGATATAGATTATTAGTATAACTAAATAAAGAAATCAGCGTTGGTAACTGGTTGCACTTCTTTAAAATATTAACAGAGGCAGTGGTGTTATTTAAGATCAGACATCAAGTCTGATCCAAGGAGGCAGGGGCGTCAGCTGAACCAATACTATACAGGGGCACAATAGGGCACCAAAAAAAAAAAAAAAATGGGACAATTATTAATTTTTAAAATGCATGGGCACAGATAATTAATGCAAGCATGCGAGCAAATGTTTTATAGTACTTATTTATTGTTATAAAGCGTCATATGTAGATTGTACAATCAGATTGTTATTTTCTGCATTGTTAAATATCTACCTGAATCAAACTGAATTGAATTGGCCCACTTGTGAACTTAACTGTATATCTCTAATCCACTACTGATGAAGGCACAATTTATCTTCATTAAATACTTGAAAACTGAAAACTTGAAATGTGCAACTGTAAAAGGAAAAACAAAAAAACACCTCTACATACATACATGTCTATTTTTGCTCATCCTATGATGGTGTGATGGCGATGATCCTATCAGTTGTGTATATCATGATGGGAAAGATTGGAGAGCTGTATGATAATTTTTTTAACAGTAAATGGTAGTGTCTCGGCCAGTGGCGGCTGGTGGAGTTTTCTCCAGGGGGCGCTATAAATTCAAAATAGACGAATACTAAAAACCAGTCAAACATACACTAACTTATCACACCAGTATATTTATATGAATGCCAAGAACAAAAAACATTAAAAAAAAAAACATTAAAAAAAAATGTATGAAGACCTTTGCATTTTGTCCATAAATCTTGCCCTTCTGAGGCTTTATGAAGTAAAATCTGTTTTTTACATGGTCCAATAAGGTTTCACAAACCTAAAAAAAATAATGTACCAGTTTAAATTTGGAGAATCTATTGCCCAGCTTTATATTTTTTAATATATAAAAACCATTTGTTTTCTGAAAATGTGTTTATATAAGAGCAACTATGCAGATTGAGAAACATTTTTAAAAAGTACACTATAATATATCATTTTCAATGTGAATCCTTTTGTACAAAGTGCTTTAAATCAGTCCTAACTGTCTTTATCCATGCTGGGTTAGATCCTGATGTTTGAAAAAGGGAAAGCAGGGTAAAGCTACGTGCACTTAGCCAAGCTTCTTGCTAAACCAGGTCGTGGAAAAGGACTTTTCTTGCCTCATCTTTCTCTCTCTCTCTCTCTCTGGTGATCAAATACACTTCCTGTCATCTCGGGGCGCACAAGAGCTGTGGCAGAGCTATCAAAGTGGAAAATTAATTACTAAAAAAATCAGTGCCTCAGGCACCGCAGATCCACAACATGCCCCTGTGAAAAGGGTCTGCCGATGCAAGGAGGTTTATTTTATAGTATTTTATAGTTTATTCTTATTTAGACAATAACAAAAGTTTTACACATTTATCATAAAATGCCTCAAAACAGCTTATATGCGAGCAAATACATGTAGAATAAGAAAAACACACAGTTTCTGGTGCTGCTGAAACTCCACGTTGTCCCAATGAATTACTTTTACATTTAAATCACTGGATAAATACATTTATTCATAAATGGAATGGACTAAAAATGCTAATAAAAGTATGTAGTTTTGAATAAGCTTCAAACTAACTCTGATGCAGATAAAAAGCCGCACATTGGCCTGTTGAAATGAATTAAACGAAAAGCATAAAAGCATTCCAACTAAATAGAAAAAAGGACATAGCTATTTATAAAATTTTATTTCATGTTGTTTCCAGAGCATTTTCCTGTACAAAAAAGGTTGGAGCTACTTTGGTCAATGGATGGAGAAAACTCAGATTTAGAGTTGTCTTATGATAATGACCCCATCCTGGATTCAAACTACCAACCATCACCACAGGGCAGGCCCCCAGAGCCGTACGCGTCTCTTTAATGGCCCCCTTGCAGCTCCCTGAAGCTTTTTTAAAGATGTATGAGAATGGAAAAAAGATGGGGGTTTTTTTTGCCAGCAGGTTAAAAAAAAAAAAAAAAACATTCATTATGTTTCCAGTGCTGTAAAAATGTTTATAATAAATAAATATAAATTATAAATGTAAACATGTCTCTCAATGAAGATGGCGTTAGGTTAATTGGCTTCTCTAAATTGTCCTTAGCTGTGAGTGTGTGTGTTTATGTGTTGCCATGCCACAGACTGGCAACCTGTTCAGGTTGTACTCTGGCTCTTGCTACTGGAGATAGGCACCGTCCCCACTGTGACCTTGACAAGCACTAAGCTGGAAAAATAGGATGGATGATATAAATATACAAATATATTCAGCAGATGGACGTGAGCGTTATTGATTGGAAAGTAGGCCATTCTTGTGCATGTGGGGATTTTCTAGCTCCCTTCCATAATGGTCCACTATTTTCTCCATTGATTGATTGACTCTATTGATCTCACAGTGGAGAAATTCACTCGTTACATCAGCTCAAATAGTCAAAGAAGAAGAATGTGCCAAAGGAAGAAAAAGGTGAATGGGATGTAAACAGTATATACTGTGCATCCAAATATTTAGTTTTTTTTTTATTTAATTTTATAGTAGGATCATTATACCTGCTTATTGCATATAGATGGGTATTTATATATATAGTTATTGCACGGGGTATCAAATGTTAAATTTCACATTATACGTAGCACAAGTTATTGCCGTTATAGTGTTGCATTGTAGAGTCTGATGGAAGCGGGGATGAATGACCTGCGGTAGCGCTTCTTTTTACAGACAGGGTGTAAAAGTCTTCCACTAAAGGAGCTGCTCAGCTCCTCTACAGACTGGTGCAGAGGGTGGAAGGTGTTGTCCATGATGGATGTGAGCTTGGACAGCACCCTCCTCTCAGCCACTTCCTCAACTAATTCCAGAGTACAGCCTAGGAAAGAACTGGCCTTTCTCACTAGTTTGTTCAGTCTCTTTCTGTGCCGCTTTGCGCTGCCAGGCGCCCAGCTGACGACAGCGCAGAGGAGGGCTGATGCTACCACAGAGTTTTGGAAGGTTTTGAGCAGGAACCTGCTCACTCCAAAGATCTCAGCCTCCTCAGGAGGTGGAGCCGCGGCTCTGGCCCTTATGAGTCCAGTCTGGACCTTTAATGATTAAATCTGTTAACTGCAACCGTAAATTATATTAAACAAGTATGGAAATATATGGATGGGTTATTAGGATCAAACAGGGAGTAATAAATGGAAAAGATAAATAAGACCTTAAGGACTGGGTATAAAATAACATTTCACGAATCAAAATATTGTCAACAACATACAACAGAATGTATTGAATCTTTTTAGAAAAGAAATTGATTAAATACTGCAACTTCATAAAATGTGGAGAAAATACAGCAGGGCAAATACTTTCCTGATGCCTTGCAAATAATGTAAGGTAATAAATCTGATTTTGCATCAATATATATATAGCAAATATTTTGACATTTAATTAAAAGTCCTTATTTAATTAGACAACTTATTTTTCACATAAATTTAAGAAAAATGTTTAAAACAATGTATTTTTCTGTTGTTTTTTTTTTCATTCACAATAACATAATTATTTATTACTATTTGTTAGATTGACATTGAATATAATTGTGTCCAGATGCAGCAGAAATATACACAGGCTGCCATAAGTATGTTGCAGACCTGAATTGCCACCACAGCAGAGCTTACACAGCACTGGCAGCAGGTAAGATGGTTTTCAGAGTAAGGAAGCCATTAGGGAGAGATTTCTATTATGCAGGAAGGCTGCTGCAATGATTTTCTCCCATGAACCCGGCTTCAAACACCTTTAATCAAAGGTTAGTTCCACCATTGCTTCCTGCATCATCGATAGGGGTTTGTTCTCATCCAGCAGCTTTGTGATAAATCTATCCAAAGACACTTCAAAGAATAAAGAATGCCGTTTTTTGTTTTTATTGCTGATTAATTATACATACAATCCTTTTCTCTAACACAGCTAAAATGTCTGACTTAGACAAGAACATCATATAAAAAGGCGTTATATAATTTTGTAATGCACAATATATAGTTACAGTTAATTCAAAAGACAAGGGGAATTATTGGCAAAACAAAGCAGTACTTAAGATTCACAAATGTCATCAACATCATTCATTACACCAACAGTGGAGTTACTATTTCACACACAGTAAATCATCTTTCTCAGCAGGATGTTTCATTTTTTATTTCTCAGACAGCATCCCAATGTTTCCGTCTGATGTACAATGCGAGAGCAAAGATAGGAAAGCCCTGCAGATAGTTTCCATGAGGAATATTAAACATTTCCTGACGCCATGTCTTCATTAGAACTGATCTTGCAGCGACAGGCTGTGATAAATATTCAGCTGATTATGTGCAGCTGTCACCGATCAGCTTGCCCAGAATGATCTGTTTTTCTCCTTACGTTTTCTGGGCTCTCTCCTCCACATAGAGCTGCATCTGTGAAAGCCAAACAAACAAATATGAGTAACAGTAAACAGATGCATTTCAGCACACAATATGGAGGACAATACAGAAAATAGCATCACAGGAAGAAGCCTTAGGATGGGCTGCACATTAGAACCCAGCAGGGTTTTCTGAATGTTTTTCCTTTCGGCTCACTTTAACAATGTCGGACGTCATGGACTTCAGTGGAATGAGTCTGGGCTCCTTCATGTGAACTTCCTGCTCATCAGCGACGATCCATGGAAAATCCTGCAAAGACGAATGAGCATAAGTGACTGAAATCATGCAAATAGTTTTATATTCTAGCAGCTGACATCGCTCAGAGCCTTAGCCTGCATACAGCGCCTCCTAAAAGTATTTTCATCCCTACAAACATTTTTTTACGTTTTGTCGCATTCATATTAGAATTTTTTAAACTGTTATGTAATCAACCAGTGGCTTACAAACTTCCTTTTCCAAAGACCAATTTAGATTTCTATATAAGGTCAAAGGTGAGGATGGTAAGTGAAGTAGCACTTTAAGCACAACCTCATTGTTAAAAAAAAAAGAAAAAGAAAAAGAAAAAAAGAAATTGAATTTCTTTTCAATTGAGAATAAATAACAAATAAGCTGAGCCTGAAAAGCAACAAAACTCTCAAACAATAAACAACTGAAGCTGGGGTGGTTGATTGACATACAATTTTTACTTGATATCAATACATAATCAAAAATAAAGTTGGAAAAACAAAAAGAATTCTTACAACAAAGTAGTCAAAAATGTGCAACTGTATCCTAAATGTATCAATTTTTTTTTTATGTTAAATTTTTCATTTTTTTAAATATAGGAATTAAGGGTATAATGAAGTAAACAGATATTTTAGCCCTAAACAGCATCATAAAGAACAGTTGAATAAAAATGACTCAAACTAATTGTAATATTTTTTCGCAAAGTTCTTTAAAATCTTCCTCTTAGTCATTTATTAGTGTTTTCATTACACAAAGAAGTAGCACACATCTCAGTACAAATAAGTAAACCTTCACTGTTGTAAAGAAAATCTGTAAATACCACACCACTGAACCTCTGGATGCCTTTTATTTGGTTGTTTTAGGATTTGTTTGTGTATATTTGTGCTGACGAGGAGTAATTTTTGCTCCCAGGGAGGTTCTGGGCGGTCCTCTTTGCTTTAAAGGAAAAGTCCGGTCATATTCAGAATACAAACTTCTGAAAGTACTTGAAGTATGAAATTGTTAGATATTTTTCAATAAATGATCAGTGTTTGTAATTAAGAGTAATTTCATTTGAATGTGCTTTACTGGAGACATCCAACTTTGTCAAAGAACACTACTGCCACCTACTGGTTTGTGACATCACGGTGCAGTATCGGCTGTTGAGCAAGTCCCAGAGCTGTATCTGGTGTTTTTTTACAACGCTCTATTATCCGTGATGGTGACGACCAGTGCACTATACGAAGCAGTGTGTTGGAGTTATTATGATTTCTGTTGTTTTTATCATTTTATTCATTTATATCTTTTATATTGCTCTCAATCATTTGTTTTTCTATGTTACTCTCATCATTGGAAATAGTGTATGAAGGCCATAAGACAGTCCAATGTTTTGCAAGAATGCTTTCCTGTTTTTCATTTGAGAAGCAGAGAAGTGAAAAGTCATAACCCCGACACCTTGTGTAAAGCGTATACTGAAACCAGGCAAGTTCCCTATCTTAAAAGTTCATGCTATGTCTAAGAGACTGCGTAATCGAAACTAACTCCTGCTGTTGTAATGTGTTGACTGCTCAATAAAAAGCCTGGCAAGTGTTGAGCCAAGCGGAGATGCAGAGATTGACAGTTCAACTCTGGACTCTCCTATGCAAAGCATTTTAGGAAAAATCTTACACTGTTTTTGTTTCATTTTTTATAGGTTAAAGTTGGGGAAACTGAACAACCCTAACAAGTGAGTAACGGATTAAGGACGTGTTTTTTTTCCTGGCCAGAAGTTTGATGGCAAATCCTCCCTCTTCAAGTTGGAAATCCAACGACCAGGACCGCAGTAACTCGTACGTGGACGATCATGAGTCTGAAAGGTGAAATAACTAATTTTGTTTCACTTTTACTCGATGTTTTGCAACAACCCACTGCCATGCACGTGGGCATTGTCAGTTTAACTATAGCTCTTGTGAATTTCAATGGTGAGGTCCTCTGGAAATCATAAATAATTGTTGATTGCAGATGTGTCTAGTAGTTCCCAATGATTTTGCTTGTAATGATTGGCCTTGGCTTACCGCACTGTGACGTCACTGCCGGAAGATGTCAGGAGTGAGGTGTTACTATATTTCTGCAAAAATGGCCGCTCCCAGACTCAGTGATTGTGACGAAAATTATTGTTTTTATTTTTTTACTTATTAACGCTAAATTCATTAAATCACAGCGATCGTATTAGTTTTAACGACCCCGTGGTTATTCCTTGCTGACCGGACTTTTCCTTTAACCCACTGTCCGTCTAGTTCTATGAAGCAGTTTCACTTCACTAACAAACATTAAACACAGGTTACGTTGGGGTTGATGTTTAAAGGACTGTCTGACAGAAAGCCTTTAGAAAACAACCAAATTGCAAATCCCACCTTTTAGGTTTGGATCTATATAAAAAAAATCGCAATATAAACATGGAATAAATTGAACGTAGAGATAATTTCACCAAGAACTGCATTGAGTCCAATAACAGCTCACCTTAATGACTTGAACCTTCTCCATGTTGCGTGTGGCAGCATCTCTGGTGTGCACAAGCACCGTGAAAGAACAACCTGAGGCAGGAACAAAACGTTTCGCTCTTTTCCACATTTCAACGCATCTTTTCTTTTGTCCACCCGTTAGAGCTTCTAATCCCCCTCGTTGTTACCTGGTGGGTTGTTGTTTAAAACAGCGTCACACACGCTGATCTTCAGGATGAACGCTCTCAGCAGCTGCTCCACGTGTGACAGCAAAGTCTCTGAGCTGTTCCCATCAAACACAGCGGTTAGTGATCAGAAATACCCCCCCAATTGGATTTCACAGAAAAGCTGGAAGCAAACCTGATTGAGAGGAGAGGAGGTTGGGAAATCTCAAAGACAAATCTCTCGACTGGATGATGCTCTTTGTCCATGATGACCACCACCACTTTCTCTGCATCGTTCTAAAGCACAAAGAGAATGATTTAGACTTAAATGGAAATATCATGAAAACTGACAAACAGAATTTTGTTTTGTAAAGTTTTCATGACATTTCAATTATTTAAAGTGCAGCATTGATCATATGTAAGCAGTGCGGCAGAAAAAACATGGTGCAAAAAACATGCATTGATATGGAAGTTCAGAACATTAGATATATATGGTGCAATAATGCAATGTTTTGGTTTGGTGTTGTCAGTTTGATGCAGAGTCGGAGACATGATTAGGAGTTTTTCAGCAGTCTGATGGTGGTGGGGAAGAAGCTTTTTCAGATTCTGCTGAACCTGCATTGAATGCTGCAAAGCCTCTTCCCAGAGGGCAGCAGGTAGAACAGTCCATGGTGGGGAAGGAGGAGCCCCGATTATCTTCTCTGCTGTTCTTACTACTCTTCACCTTCTTCCAGTCTGAGGAGCTGCAGCCTCCACACCACACAGTGAGACAGCTGGTCAGAACGCTCTCTATGGTGCTTCTGTAGAAGGTGGTGAGGATGGGTGGGGGCAGGTGGGCTCTCCTCATCCTCCACAGGAAGTGCAAAGTGCGCTTCTGTGCCCTTTTGACCAGTGAGGTGGTGTTTACATTCCAGGTGATGTTGACTGTGATGTGCACCTCCAGGAATTTGGTGCTGTTGACCACCTCTACAGCTGAGCTGTTGATGAGCAGTGGAGCATGGTTAGGCTGGTTCTTCCTGGAGTCCAGGGTGATCTCATTCGTCTTCTCCACATCCAGGATCAGGCTGTTATCTTTGAACCAGTCCACCAGCTGCTCCACCTTCTCTCTATAGTCTAGGTCGTTGTCGTCTCTGATGAGGCCCACCACCAAGGTGTCGTCTGCAAACTTCACGATGTGATTGGTGGTGAACCTCGGTATGCAGTCATGTGTCATCAGGGTGAACAGCAGGGGGGTCAGGACGCAGCCCTGAGGGGAGCCTGTACTTAGGGTGATGATATCAGAGGTGTTCTGTCCGACCCGGACTGATTGAGGTCTGTTGGTGAGGAAGACTAACAGCCAATTGCAAAGGGTTGTACTGAAGCCCAGCTGTTCCAGTTTGCCCACCAGATGCTGTGGGATGATGGTGTTGAAAGCTGAACAAAAGTCCAGGAACAGCATCTGCATGTGGGTGTTCTCCTCCAGGTGTGCCAGACTCAGGTGGAGAGCAGCAGAGATGGCGTCCTCAGTGGACTGGAATGCATCGAATGTTGGGGCGAGACTGGAGACGATGTGTTCTTTAACCAGCTTTAAGTCATTGAGTCAGGTGACCTGAGGGTTCGTTGGGATCGCAATTATGGTGGCAGAATCAAAGCATGCTGGCACTATGGATCGGTCCAGCGAGGTGTTAAAGATGTCTGTGAGGACACCAGCCAGCTGACCTGCACACTCCCTGCCCAGGTATGTTATCTGGGCCTGGGTCCTTTTATGGTAAGTGGAAACTAAGCAGAAACAGCCTGTCAGTATTAGACTCATCTTACCTTCTCAATGAGCGGCTTCACACAGTGTAACGTATCCTGGATGTATTGATTCAGCTCAGGGTGACAGGACATCTGGAAATGATTGTACCAACCAGAAGAGCAGGGTCAGACTTTTCAAACAGAATAGCCTTAAAGCTAACTCCTGTGCATTTCTATAGAAATCTTTACCTGCACGGGTACATTGTATTTCTTCCTCTTCTGGAAGATTCCAGAGGGATAAACTTCACGGACGTAGAGGATGAGGTGAATGGCGACCTCCAGGAACTCGCACAAAATGTCAGCAACCACTGGAAGAGAGAAATAATCCCAATCAGGCCACTGATGGGACCGTTATTTACCAATGAACACAAACAGAGCGCACTAAGCCTACTCCTGTTCATCTTTAATATCACCAATATCTAAATATTAATATTCAATTTTCCCTTCCATAAATCTTATTAGAGTCAGACTGATAGACTGATCAGGCAGCTGATATTTGTGTTTTTTTCTTGTATTGGTATCAGCCAATACGCCTGTTCATTAGTGCCTTCAGCAGCCACACCTTGAGACTGTGTGAAGAACATGATTGCTGCTTCCTCCATTTGTTATCTATTGTTAGTGTGTTGTTTGCTAATAAATGTCCATTTTATTTACAATGAGACTTGTTTAACATTTGTTATGATTTTTTCATTTTATTATGTAAATGGAGAAAGAGAAAGCAATATTGACCAGTAAAATCAGCAGCATGTGTCTGGGACTGGATAGATCGATATCAAATAAGTGGTCAAGCTAGAAATCTTTAAGCCAGATAAACAACCGATTTAATTACACATCAAAATATTTGTAAACGTACATTCATATCTAGATTTATTGCAATAAATGATCTTAACTCATTTAAAGTACAGAAAAGCATCATTAGTCCTGTACTGAAAGGCAGACTTTCTATATTAGTTAAATATTACAGAAAAACAGTTTTAATGTATTTTAAAAAGCTTTCAAGTGAAAAACAAACATCCTTGATAATTAAGCTTCACAAAAATAAAATAATAGAGTAAATCTATTTCTATGAAGGACCTTTTTATCTAATGCTCCAAAATAACATCTAGTGCAGCAACCTGCTATCAAAATGAAGCTGCATTCAATTTAAACTTTGTTTAATTATCATGATAAAAACTGCAATAAAAAAACAACGGTTCTGTTAAGAGTTTTCACAGGTCAGGGAGGAAGTTAGAAAAGGATTTAAGGATGGGTTAGGTTATAAAAAAACAATGTTTATCAAACTATGAGCATATCACAGAGCTGTTTAATTGCATAGACTACCTACCTCTCAGAAAGTTTGCATAACTGGAAACCTACTGAAAGTCATGGTTGTCCACCTAAACTGAGAGACTGGGGAAGGAGAGCATGAAGATCTATGAACTATGAATTGTGCATCCTACAAACCTTTCTTTCATTTAATAAAATAATGCAAAGAAGAAAGGCATTGTTGAAAGAATATCATAAGATGTCCTATATGAGGTTTGCCAGACGCCCAGCAGGCGATCCAGAAAACTTTCTCTGATCAGATGAGAAAAACTTGCTTTAGGATCAAAAAGTTGATCTTTCTTTCAGCAGAACAATCTTAAATATTTATCCAGAGCTGCAATAGATTGATAATCTATATCAAAATACCAATTTTAGCTGCAGTCTAAATACATAACTTTTGATATCATGTAGTTAGATGATCCAGTCAAAATCTGCACTTTAATCCCATCTCTGATAAGAAACTGATGCTTACAAAAAGCCATTAATCCAAACTAATCCCAAAAGCTTGATTTACTTCTGCATTTCTGTAGTGTGATACGACAGCAAAATGAAGCCAGTTTTGCTTAATTCCTGCAGTTTTCCTTTGTAAATTATCTGTTGTACTTCATCCAGAGAGAACAGGGAGCTATTTGGTTCACACGATATCCACCTCCTATTTGTTAACCTTCTTAAATCCACTTTAAACTTTAAATCTCTCCACACCAAAGACATGTTTGGACCATTTGGTGTTTCATGTAGAAATTAAAGCCCAATAAAACGTCTGAACCTACATGAATGTTAAGGATTACTCCATTGTTATGTTTTGTCTGACTAAAGCCTTAAAGCGAATGATGTTGCATACATTTATACCTTTATAATATCCCCAACACCTTCAAATAATGCCCTTCATTTGAAACAGCAGAGCAAACACCTATTATATTTATTCGCTTCAGTGTTTACGGGTCTTACCTTGTCCAAAGTTAAGATCTTGCCTTGTCAGAGTTGTCATTGTTTATTTAAAATAAAATAAAAAAGTGGGGCAATGATTTTTATTCGGCTAGCTATACATGGGAAGCGACAGATTATATTTTTAGATTCAAAAGCTCGACATTCCTCTTATGTTTGATAAAAATGCCAGCGGTTTAAATTTATTCCAAAAAGAGTCTGATAAAAACAACAACAGCGACGCCAACCCGATTAAACGTTTATTTGTTCATATTTTTCAAAGCGAAAGGTATGTTATTAGCCTCCTCGCGCATAAAAATGACGTAGCTCTTTCCCGCTCCTCGACGTCCAGTGATGATGACGCTTTTGTCTTTTTTTTTCCTGATTTAACATCTATTTAATATATATAGATCCTAAACAAATGTATACTTTAAAATGTGAGGGTAAACATTGAGATTATTTGAAAATCATTTCCTAAACGTTTTTTTCTTTTGTAGTTGGAAAACAAACATCATTGTTTTAATTAAAATAACAAAAAATAATTTCTAAAATCGAGATAAGTTATACTCTGGGTTGTACACAACTTCCCATCCCCGAAACTATACGATTTCGTCCAAAAATGGAGCAAAACAAATAAATATGGGATAGTTTCAGATTAAATACATTTTAATTATTCTCCTGCTGTTTATATGATTCTACATATTCCTGTTAATTAAAGTCCATACAATGTGTTGTGACAACTATATGTGGTGTTATCAAACTTCCTGACAGAATGCTTTTTCTTTTCTTTACCCTTTACTCCATAAAATCGGTGTCAAGGTTCGCCTACGCTGATAACTTGTTCCAACAAGTTGGTGGAAAGTTTTTTACCTCTTGCATATGAGAACAGTGTTCTGACACTCAGCCGTAAAATCTTTGCCGTAGGTGTAAAAGCACCAGTGATAACACCAACATTTCCAACCCCAAACCTTTACAAACAGAAAGCTCCAAATGCGAAACCTAAATAGGAAATAAAACAATAAACAAAAGGTACATGAAGGTTGCTTACACATATGGATTCAAATGAAACTATATTGATCCCCAAATGAGCCTCAGGTGGGACTCTCTGTCTGACTTAGGCAGTTCTCAAATGGGAATGAAAACAGTTCATTGACAGTTAAGAAAAATTAAGAAGAATAGGATTAATTAAGGAAATTTATTCATTTATTTGCTTGCTTTTCCTCCTACAATTTTGTGTTCTAAGTTGCCGTTAAGGAAAAAAATTGGGGGAAAAAAATACATTTTAAATGTAGCTGGAAATATATATATGCTTTCTATGAATGAGCATCGAGCTGGGATTTAATAACTTTTCTTCTTCCCACTTCCTTTCAGGCCTGTTTTTTTTTTTTTTACTTTTTTTTGTTATTTATAATATGACTCGTAAGTTTAAAATGATTAATTGATATTCACTTGTATGTTTCAATGCATGTATTTGCCTGAAATGAAAAAAATAAAATAAATAAATAAATAAATAAGTTACCCCAGTCTGATACCCCAAGCCTGTTTCAGGAATATTTCTCTGTACTTTAACAAATAAAATTATGTTGTGTTGGTTTGTGATGGACTGGTGACCTGTCCAGGTGGTATCCTGTCTTTTGCCCATAGATTGCTGGAAATGGGCACCTGTCACATAGACACTAGCAGAAGATGGATGCTGGGTGGATCCCCAGAAGCCATTAGGAAAATGTTAAATATTATTTTCTCTACTAGCAATCAAACATTTTTTTCTGCGTAAAGGTTGGTCTCTCATTGGTCCTGTCCAGCTAAGCAAATTCTAGGTCATTAGATTTTATAACATGGAAAACATTCAAGATAATAACTCTTCGTTTACTGCTGTGCCTCAAACAAGTTGGAAAAAAGCAAAGCAAGGTTTGCCAGCACTGTCAAAGGTTATAAAAAAACATCTAACCATGGAACAAATATCTGTCAAGTACTGAACATAAAAGCATCGTCAATATAGTGTTAAACCTGAGAAATAAATGGATGTCAGTTAGTTATATAAATAAATAAATAAATAAATATACATATATATATATATATATATATATATATATATATATATATATATATATATATATATACATATACACACTCACCGGCCACTTTATTAGGTACCCCATGCTAGTAACGGGTTGGACCCCCTTTTGCCTTCAGAACTGCCTCAATTCTTCGTGGCATAGATTCAACAAGGTGCTGGAAGCATTCCTCAGGGAGTTTGGTCCATATTGACATGATGGCATCACACAGTTGCCGCAGATTTGTCGGCTGCACATCCATGATGCGAATCTCCCGTTCCACCACATCCCAAAGATGCTCTATTGGATTGAGATCTGGTGACTGTGGAGGCCATTTGAGTACAGTGAACTCATTGTCATGTTCAAGAAACCAGTCTGAGATGATTCCAGCTTTATGACATGGCGCATTATCCTGCTGAAAGTAGCCATCAGAAGTTGGGTACATTGTGGTCATGAAGGGATGGACATGGTCAGCAACAATACTCAGGTAGGCTGTGGCGCTGCAACAATGCTCAATTGGTACCAAGGGGCCCAAAGAGTGCCAAGAAAATATTCCCCACACCATGACACCACCACCACCAGCCTGAACCGTTGATACAAGGCAGGATGGATCCATGCTTTCATGTTATAGACGCCAAATTCTGACCCTACCATCCGAATGTTGCAGCAGAAATCGAGACTCATCAGACCAGGCAACGTTTTTCCAATCTTCTATTGTCCAATTTCGATGAGCTTGTGCAAATTGTAGCCTCAGTTTCCTGTTCTTAGTTGAAAGGAGTTGCACCTGGTGTGGTCTTCTGCTGCTGTAGCCCATCTGCCTCAAAGTTCGACGTACTGTGCGTTCAGAAATGCTCTTCTGCCCACCTTGGTTGTAACAGGTGGTTATTTGAGTCACTGTTGCCCTTCTATCAGTTAGAACCAGTCTGGCCATTCTCCTCTGACCTCTGGCATCAACAAGGCATTTCTGCCCACAGAACTGCCGCTCACTGGATGTTTTTTCTTTTTCGGACCATTCTCTGTAAACCCTAGAGATGGTTGTGCGTGAAAATCCCAGTAGATCAGCAGTTTCTGAAATACTCAGACCAGCCCTTCTGGCACCAACAATCATGTCACGTTCAAAGTCACTCAAATCACCTTTCTTCCCCATACTGATGCTCGGTTTGAACTGCAGGAGATTGTCTTGACCCTGTCTACATGCCTAAATGCACTGAGTTGCATTATATATATATATATATATATATATATCAGCCCCCTTTGAAATGACCACCCCCCCAAATACCATCCCCTATGACATTTTATTACTAAATGTGTAAAATTTCTACTATATATTAACAATAATGGCAATATTTTGCCCTTTCAACATTTGGTGGGCTGCGGGTTTACGAGTAGCCTGAGCAAAATAAATAAAATCAAAGAAGTGGCCTACCATGACTATGAAGCCGATCCCAGTGGGAAATTAGTCCCTAACCGTGTAGGGGCAGTGATAGCCATGCCAGTCCAGGGACTGACTGCAGTTCTACTATAAGATTTCTTGGTCAAGATCAATGACTGGCATACCTGACATTTAACAACCATACCATGCATATTGTTTTAGTTTAATAGATTATATTAATTAGGCTATGTGTGCTTCCCAAAAAAATAACAGTTCCACCTTCCCCCTTCTGTTTTCTTTCACAACTAGACTGCTGTATATATATATATATAAGATATTATTTGTCCATTCCTTTTCCTTGTTTCATATCTGATTTTCATTTTCTCCTCCTTTGCTTTTCAGATTCAGTCAACTAAGCTTCAAGGAAAAGAGATTTCACAAATATTTCAATAGAGAAACTGATGACCTGTGTGTCTTCCATCCATCCTTTTGCATCACGCTTATCCCAAGCAGGGTTTCAAGGGGTCCTGGATGGACAACCATCCATGTGCACACTCACACCTAAGGACAGTTTAGCGACGCCAATTAACCTAGTGTAACAGAAATGTTTTTGGACTGTGGGAGGAAGCCGGAATACCCAGAGAGAACCCACACATGCACAGGGAGAACATGCAAACTCCATGCAGAAAGACCTCAGGCTAGGAATTGAACTGGAAAACTTCTTGCTGCAAAGCAGCAATGCTATCCACTACTTCGCTGATGAGCCCTGTGTGTCTTTATACCTTGTAATCCTTCAATTTTGGTGAAACAAAATATTTCTTTTGGCAAATTCCCTTTTAATGCTGCCATATTACATTGGCTGCATACTTTGGTACTTTGCAATATATAATCATTTAAAATAAAGTTTTCGTTCAAAGGATTGATACAACACAACCTTTGTGATATAATGTACGTGGAGTTAAAAGTAACAAAAACTGGATAAATGTTGAAGGGTTATTATACATTTGAGAAGTGTATTATAAAATGATGGTTTGAACTTGTTTCTGAAATAAATAATTAGAGTCTCTAGGGACATGTAGTATTTCAATCTGCAAAACTCACATGAAGAGAAAAGACAATTAGGAGAAATTTATTGATACAATTACTTGCTTGGCTTACTTCCCATTCAAGGTTCATCATTTCAGGCAAAGTTTTACAGTCCATATTCTGTGTTGCGACAAGCGTCTGCACAAGACTATTCTACCCCAGATCGTAAACGTCCAACTCAGCTTTATCATCTAAACTTATTGAAACCTTATTTTGGTCGCACTTTGGAAGAAAAGGTTGCGAAGGCAATTGCCTCTTCTATGAAAGTAGACTTGAGCTACAGCAGGATTAGATGAGGATGTGCAGCACTTTGATGTGTATGTGGGTGGAGGTGCATTTCCTGTTGTGGTGTATTCAGATCATAACCCTTTGACCTTTTTGCACTCCTTACAGATCAAATCAGCGGTTGATGCGATGGGCCTTATTCCTGCAACCTTAGAACCTTGATATACGGCACATTCGAGGCACTGAAAATGTGCTGGCTGATGCATTTTCTCGTGCCATTGATGGACCAGACTAACAGAAAAATAGCTACAGAGGTCCTAGTTGGGATCCTCTGTTTTAACCCCTAGAACCCTACGGAACCACCGGTGGGTCCAGCTGCCACGTGACCTCGTAATTTTAACAAACCCCCAGTATTGATGTAAAAAACACATTTGGCACAGTTTGGTGACATTTTTGGATAAATGTGCCAAAATGGCCTCTCCGCCTAAGAAATTTCTCACTAATACCATTCTAAAATAAATATGATTCATCTGATTGAGTCCAAATTTGGTATATTTTTACACAACATTTAGATTTAAAAGTCTGTACTACTTTTTTTGTGCTATAAATATTTTGGTAGTGTTTTGCAATGTTTATTTCAAAGAAAATTTTGGCGAGGTTGAAAAAATGCAAAATATTTTGTATTTTATCCCTAATATTTCAGGCAGGGTCAAAGCTACAATGGTGCTGACACCAGAAAACCATTCTATGACATCTTACCTTTACAGACGTACCAAAAGTTTCTTCTTAAATCTAATAGCTGTGAGGCTATAAGTGATTTACTTTTGTGTGTTTTTGTCAGGCAGAAATTTATTTATACCCCCTTAGGTTGTAAGAGGTTAAGGGGGGAGGTGTGATGCCTGCAGCGTGTTTCTGCCCTTTTCCTTGCGGGGCTCTGGGGGCAGGCCTTCTGCAGGTGATCTGTTTTGCCCTAATTGGTGCTTGTCAGCTTTAAAAGCTGTCATACAAGCAGCAGACAGGAGGCTTCTTCCTCTTTCCTCCTCAGAACCCCATTTGGTTTGGTTTTTATTCTATGGTTGGGTTTTGTTAGTTTTGCTTGCATTGGCTTATTTCTGTTTACTTATAGGTTTTGTATTAATCCATTTCCGATTTCCCATTATATTTATCTATTTGTTTTAGTTTTTTTGTTTCTTTAGTATAATTCAATAAATTAAATTTTCAGTTAATAAGAAAATCCTGGTGTGGTCCCCTTTAATGTTACCCCCACCAAACAAGCCTGGTGGACGTAACATTGTGGACAAGCAATTACTTTGTCTTTGGCGCTCAGGCCTCGGCAGGAAACATAGCGCTGTATTTTGATAGATATGCAGGAACAGGAGTAAAGAACAGGGCTGTTTCCTCCCCAGGCCTGAAACTGGTGGTGGAGTGGAGATAGATGAAGTTGGTCAGTCTGTAGACTGCTGGTTAGCGAAACGGTATGCTGAGCTTTATGGAGAGATCCAGTGGACTGCATGAGCTGATACTAGAGCTTCACTCAGGAACCTGAAAGATGAAAGTCAAAGCATGAAGCGACAGTGGAGAAGAAAAACTTTGGCTTTTGTGGAGGTGTGTTTCAATGCTGATTGACTGAGTCGCAGGTGGATTTAGTAAAGTAATTTGTTTCTTCAGTTGAACTTCTTCCTAGGCTCCATATTTCTAAAATATGTTTCTGTAGCTCAGTCTTAAAAATTGGTTTTCAAAGGTTTACTTTTGATAACCAGATCAGAACAAATATGATCTTACAAGAATGTAATCTAGTAATTGTTATGTTATTGTCCTCCATTTCGGTTTTAAAGGAGCAAATCTGTTATCCATGCTCCGGAGCAGAGGTTCTCAATGTGACAGTCTGGGGATCCCCTAAAAATTCATATCAATTCACGCTATATTACATATGAAGGGAAATAATGATGGTAATTAATACATTATCTTTTTTATCAAATTGAATTATTTATTTATCATTTATTTAGATTCAGGCTATTGATTCCCAGAGTTGGGGTCGGGCTCACACTCGAGCAACCCCCATGGGGTCTAGAGATCCACTACAGAAATTACAATTAAAAAGGTTAAAGCGCTTAAAGACATAAAAACATCACTTAGAAATAATAAAAAAAAAAAAACTACTTTGGCCAATGTCATTACACCCGTGGTTGTCTTGTAAAAGAAATGTAAAAACTTTAGTTAAACCCAGGCACCACTTTGTGTGTCAGAAGCGAACATCAAAGTCACATCCCCATAAAAAATAAATAATAAAGACCAAAAAGAAGAGAAAAGAACAACATCTTTAGACCAATATTTTGTATATATCGTTGTAACTTAGTGTGACAAAATAAGTTTCTTAAAAATCCTTCTATGTTGCTTTGTTTTCTAACGTAGGCACAATGATGTAATCAGAGAGAGCTTTTATTTTGAAAGGACGGCCATGCTGAATACACAACCTGTTCAGAGCTGGAGCCAAAGATCAACCACAAGCTGCAAAACTATGTGAAAAAAAGATCTGTAAAGACGTTCTAACAATGAGGCGACGCTTTCAGATGGTAAGCACTGCTGGCTCATTAGCAAACCTCTTCATGCTCCACCTTAGGACAATCTGTCACCTGAATTACTATTTCATACAAGGTTAAACTATACAACACAACTTAACTTAAATAAACTGCATTGCTATGAAAGGTTTTACATCTTGTTTTAATTAAATAAGAGAGACCTACATATTAAAGAAAAGTCTTACAGCCCAGAGCAATGTTCCCTTTTCACCTGGTTAGTTTTTTTTAACTCCTGTCTTCATTAACTATCCAACAGCTGGTTATGGTGGAGTTTGTACATAAGCGGCTGTAAATGTACTGCCTCAAGGAAACGAATCGCTTTGTTGATTGTGAAGTCATGCCTTTTTTGGAGTTTGTAGCTGGGAGCATTTCAGGTAAAAACAACATTAGTGAAGCCTCTGAAAACAGAAACACAGATTGATGCTTGAACGTCTGGAGTTAAAACTTCTCCTCAATGGTTTTTGCAGGTGCAGTGGGGATTGCACTTGGACATCCGTTGGACACAGTGAAGGTGACGCGGTGCTCAGAAACCTCCACATATGTAATCCTGTGTAAATCATAAAACATCTTGTTTTGCTTGTAGGTGCGTCTGCAAGCAAAGTCTGTGTATAAAGGGATGTTTGACTGTGTGGCTAAAACATACTTGAATGAAGGAGTAGGTGACACATCCTCACTTGTTTTTATATTAAACCTTTAAGCATAAGCCCTTTGACTATTCTGTATCTTCTCTGTACTCCAGCTCCGTGGATTTTTCAAAGGCATGTCCTTTCCTGTTCTGACCACTGGCCTGGCCAACTCCATCGTCTTTGGCTCTTACAGCAATGCTTTACATTACATCTCTCAGTCTGACTGCAATATCCGCAGCCCCTGCAAACAAGCCTCTTCAGTGCAAGTCTTCACTGCGGGCTGCATCTCAGGCGTTGTGCAGGTATGGTCCCTTTAGAATCAGTGGTTTTCACACAACAAACTTCTATTTGCTAATATACCCAGCGTGTATTGGTATGGCTTCTGTGGTGCTTTGGCCTCAGAGTGAACGTTTTTCAGTCAACAGTCAATGGTAACAGCAGGGTAATTGTGATATATCTTTGATGTGCCTTATGATAATTTGAGAGATTTAAAAGAAAGGAGAAAAAGTCATTTAGCATTTAAGTTAATGTTCTATTGAAGTCATAAAACCTAGACAGAGAAGATTATTGGATCAGTTTCCCTTGTTTTTTTTATATAAGATAACAAGACATACCGGTACATAAGAACAATCTCAAGTGCTAAACCTCCAAATCTAATTGAGACATTGACCAATAGTCCTCAACAGACCTCATCATTGCCTCTTAGGTTCCAGAATAAGTTACTTTACATATTTATTTTTCCTTGGATAGACTGAGGTGTGGAGTACCAACATCAATCTCTCCTTACCTGCTGGAAAAGTGGGGATGTTTTGGTTAATGCAGAGGTATTATTGTTGCCTTCTTACAGTACAACTCTGTCTGATAGACTTCTCGCCTACTAGTCTGGAATATTCCAGACTAGTGGATCGTGATGATTCCACAGCTGAGCAGTTCTGTTGTCATGTATCTGCCCAGACCCTGTGCTTGAAAAATGTCTGAAGACTGTTTAATATGGTGAGGCATGGGGTTCTACTCCAAGTTCCTGCAAGATCAACAAATTCCCTGCATCTTTTCTGCATGTCTTAAACTGGCAAATAGTTCCAAAACTATACATCCATTTGTTAAAATGTCGCTATGATGTTCTTTTTTTTCGGGGATGGCATAGTTTTACATCAGATTGAACACAGTACTTAGCTTTTAAAAGCATGATGTTTGGGCTGAAACAAGTTTCTCAAGGGAATTCATCAATGGAAGCCATTTTTGTTGCGGGTCATTCTTAATGGTGAGACGAGTGAGAACTGGAGGGCAGTAAATGTTGTTTTGTTCTTTTACCTCCTGGATGAGTCTTTTATGGTGGAATGATGGATGTAATGACTTCAAATCTTTTCCAGACTGATAGATGTCAAAGAGTCTTTGTTATCTCAGTTATTTTTTGGAATCGTTTAGCCTACTTCCTGTTGTTAGATGGGTTCTGTTTGTCCCATGGCTCATTTATGCTTTAGCGAACTTGACCTCATTACTAAAGGTAAAAGAGGTAGAGTGAGTGGAGAGGTACAATAAGAGCTTTACCTTTTGACTGCCTTTTCAGCTTCTCACCTACGGCAGAACAAAGAAATAAGGTTATTAATAAATATAATTTTTTTTCATCCTGGTCTCATGCCCTCCTGCTGCACCATGTAGGTGACACTTATGGAGATATTTCTCCATAAGGCAAAGACAGACCTAACTTGCTTTCACCTTTATCTTGCTTAGAGCCATGAATCCATTGCTTCTCTCCTCTCCTATATCCCGGAAAGCTTAGAAATTCAACCAATTGAAATAGACAAAACAAGTGATAAAGTTGGGATTCCCTGATATTAATCTTTGTGTGATGGGGAATATGAAACATATTTACGATTCTGCTTAAGTGGCTTTTAGCTATTTAAAATGTAAAACAGACCTGATGATCAGACTTCTCTGTACCGCCATCAAATATGAGTCAAAAACGTCTTTTTGTTGAAAAAAAAAGGCAAAACTTTAAAAAAACAAAGCTTTAAAACTATGCCACTCAAAAAGTTGTGGTGTCATAACTAAGAGATACATCAAAACTTTAAATTATCTACCAGAGGGAATCAATTTGATGAGTTTTCAGATAGCTGCTGACCACATCTATTTTATGTTATTTCGTCAGAGTATTCCCCATCTAGCTCTAAGTAGCCCAAAAAGAGGATTTTTGATCCATCATAAATATTGTTTTACTTACCTTCAGATGGCAGCAAACCGCCATTACCAAAGCATTGAAGTTATATTAGTGCTATGCAAAAGGTAAACTGACTAAATACTAAAAGCATTTATTGTAATATTGATTCTATCGTTGGACGTTTAGCAATGTTGATCCGTCCCATTTCCAAATACTGAAGGAGAAAAGGAAGGAGATCACTGATCGGACAGGATGTTTGTGCACAGGACACTGTGTTGGCCGCCCTGCTCTGCAACTCTGCACAATGTTTCCTTCCCAATCTTTACTCTGTTCACAAAGGATCCCTGTTTGCTACAGCCTTTCAAACACAGGTCTCTCTTTTAACAGTTGGACATCAGTGTTGCAGAGAACAGTAAGAGGAGGGACAGCTAAAAGTGGAACACACTGCAAAAACCATCTAGAAATAAGTCAACTTTTTTAAATTAAGTGTATTTGCCTTAAATTTGGGCAGGTAAAAAAGAGGATCTGCCAATGCAATGAGTATTTCTACTCTTAAAATAAGACAATTATATAAAATGCACTTAAAATAAGACAATGCAATTATAAGACAATGCAATTATTTTTTTCCTATTTTAAATGTAAATTGTCTTGTTCCACTTGAAAAGTTTCTCACTTTCCTCCTCAATTTGAGACAAAAATAATTTATTTTAAGAAAAAAATAGTTTATCTCAATTTCAATTTTTTTTTCCAGTGCAGAGCATCGTTCACTCTGAATGGACATTTTTTTTAATGAAACCTGGAGTAGCAGCTGCACTGCTGGACATACTGCTTTAAAACAAGCAAAAATATCTGATAAGAATGTATTTAGAAGTTTATTTAAGATCAGTTTGATGAACGATAAAGAAAACCTCCAAATGCATTTTATATCTAACAAAGTGAGAAGTATGTGTTAACATAAGGCCAGATTGGTTTGAGGCTATTTTTTCATTAACAATTAAATTTATCTGAAATCTGCATTTTGTATTAACTCTGATAACAATGAAGAGAGGCATTTAAGTGCAACAAAAGAGAAAAGAGAAATAACCAAAGAGGAGATTCAAGTTTTTCATGTGTTTTTATAAGAACAAATGTTTAAAATATATCTATGTAATTTTAAAATAATTTGAGTTGACTAATACTTTATGATCCTGTGCCTCCAGGTGCTGGTTTGTGCTCCAATTGATCTGGTGAAGGTGCGTCTGCAGGGTCAAACTGCTGCTGAGCGCTACCGTGGACCCATACACTGCGTAGCTGTCATACTGCAGGAGAAGGGTCTAAAGGGTCTGTACAAAGGAGGGGTGGCTATGGCTCTGAGGGATGTACCCTGTTATGGACTCTATTTCCTCCCTTATGAGGTCATCCGTAAGACCCTGACTGAGACTGGAGAGGAGCCAGGTCAGTCTGAGATTCCTGATGCAAGAACTCACGTCTAAGAATCTTTTTTGAACATACTAGAGCAAACTTTAATTTCATAATCTTACCTAGCACTAAGACACCCCTGCCACTAGTTGGAAATGTACAACTATTATTCAGCTTTTCTGCTCCGACCAAAGCAGAACAACGAGATATGCTTTCCAGAGCCGTATAATAATAGAAATTGAAACACATAATCTTTGTTACTGTAGGATGTCTGGATAAATTGTATCGTAACACACGTATTGTGATATGTATCATATTGCAAAATTTTTGCCAATTCATAACCCTACAAGCTACAAATACGTGACTGAAAGTATTGTTTTGTAACCAAACCAAACTTCCAAATCAAATATGACTTAGACAGATCTATTTTGTCCTTATGTATACAGTACACGAGTGTAAACAAAAAGACATTTCATTTGAAACAGCTCTAGACAATTTCATTTTTTAAAGTGCAGCCTTGAAAACAGTAATAAATACATAAAAAATAGTAATATAAACATATGACTGTATATTTACAGTTCTAACATACTTTTATTTCTTTAAATAAAATAACCAATTTTTCACAACAGTCAGCAGTCTAATGGCAGTGGGGAAGAAACTGTTATGGAATCTGCTGGACCTGCATATGGCTGCCAACTTTATAATAAAAATGGAACTTATGTCAAATCTTTCACAGACCTTAGTTTTAAGGAAAATTTAGAAAATGTATTTTAAAGCTTATTTGTATAAAATGTGGAAAAACACCCCCCAAAAATATCATTTAACACACTACAGTACAGTAACTGATTTTCTTAATAATTTCTAATGTTTTCTGTTTCCTCAGGTACCTTTGCAATACTTATGGCGGGGGGCGTAGCAGGTGTGGTGACCTGGGCGTGCGCCACACCCATGGACGTCATAAAGGCTCGGCTCCAAATGTCTGGAGCTGGCGGTCGGCACTACAGCGGCGTCCTGCACTGCATAAGAGTCAGCTTAAAGGACGAAGGAGTCAGAGTCTTCTTCAAGGGTCTTCTACTGAACAGTGTCAGGGCTTTCCCTGTCAACGCCGTCACCTTCCTCACCTACGAGAGTCTGCTGAAGATTTTCCGTTCACCTAGTAAATAGAAGCATCCTCACCAGTAAAAACGGACTTTGTTTTTCAAAAAGGAAGCAAGAAAGTTAACTTTAAGTCTAACAGTTTCCAGGTTACATTTCATTCATTGACAAATAATAACAAAATGAGTTCCAATACCTCCTGTTACCTTATGTTTGTACAGAAAAATCAGCTCATTACTCAAATTCTGAACGCAGAACCATCAAATTACCAAAACTTGCTTTTATTTAAGTACATATATGATCTGATTAAAGATACACAAATAAAAGTAGTTCGACTAAACCTAAAAGCCTCAACAGCCTAACAGAGAAACCATGTTTTTATTACAATACTCTTTCAACACCAATATAGCATACATCATTAGATTTTCTGCTAAGCTAGGGTGCTTCTGTGATAGATGAGAGTTGCTGACATTAGCTTCCCAACTTTAATGCCACACTGCCATGATTTATTCTAGTACTACTGAAATATTTTAGCTAAGATCCTATAATGGGACTATCTGATGTCATGTTATGCAATTTTTTTAACAACCTACAAACTTTAAGCTTTTAAGATTTATTTTCTAAGCACATACCTACCTCAAATATGCTGGTTCTCCTTACAGGCTTGAATTATCTGTTAGACCACTCCTAATCCAAGGACATTTGAACATTTGCATTGCCTTTTTGTTAGTGTTAAATCTATAAAGTGTTCTGTTTTAGCCTTGCTATATATATAAGGGTTTATTTCAAATTAGGAGAGTGAAAGATGTGAATTATTGCATTAACTTAATAAGTTTTATGACGTTCAAAGATGAAAATAGATTTCTCTTTAGTCAGATCTTCAACATAATACTTGTTTTTTCTGCACTACTGGCACAATTTTTATTCTGTATCATTTAATGATCTTATGAAGGGTTACCATTGTTATAGCTTCCCTTTCCCCAATTGTTTTTCAGAAAATGTCAGAAAAACAGCATTTTTACATTGTTTATTAAATAATGATTGGATTTTGATGTTGATGGGTTTTTGAAAAAACATTGAGGTGTGAGCAGCAGTGCTTCTCTTACTAAGGTGTCAGGAACAGGGTTGTTGAAAGATAATTTATATGTCTACAGATACTCGAAAACTTCTGATTACATTATATTTATTCCTAAACTTGTGCCAGAAATATGATTTTATTACTTTTTAGAGTGTTTTAAATAAAAGACAAAACTCTCTGGAAAAGGAAGCCAAATGGGCCTTTAAACCAAGAGGAAATCCGTCTCTTAAATCAATCCCAATCCTGCCGTGCCACGTAAAGGAACCTTTTTAAATTTTCTCACATTACAGCCACATGTAATATTATCTAAATGATCAACAAAAAGGAGTTTATATTTAATAGGCTGGAGGTAAATTATTAGTTTTCAATCAAACAAACAAGAGTATCTGTCTATCGGACATGTTTCACCATAGTTTGTTCCCAAGTGGCCAAGCTTGACCAGACTAAATAGAGAAAAACTTCAATATTCAATTCTTGTTCTCAGTTGCATTTATTTTTTTGATGTTGAATGTACATTACGTACACACATAGATATATATTATTATGTAGTTCCTGCAGAGGGCCTATAGCCATTATTATTTCTGAAAAACTTCCAAGATTGGTCCATATTTAGCAAAATCTGTCTCCCTATAGAAGAAGTCACAGATTAGCGGATCAGGGTCCAGATCCGGACCCAACCTGATTTAAAACATTTATAAATTACTGCATGTTGTCCGACAAGTGTCTAACTTCACTTGCGCTGCTTCTCCTGGTAATATGGTAAAGCCCTGCGGAGCGTCCTTTAAAGTACTTTCAGACACAGCAGGCGGAGGGAAAGGAGAAGACGATGAGAAAACGAAAGCAGAGAAAGTGTGGAATGGAACTAGTAAAAAGTGAAATGGCGTGCTCAAAGATGACCCTGCACATTTTAAGTATGTTTGGCTCAACCTGCTGCTGTGAAGCAGGATTCTCCACCATGAACATAATTAAAAATAAATATGGATCCAGGCTCAAAATGAGCACCTTGATATGTGCTTTAGAATGGCTTTGTCTTCATTCAAACCCAGATTTAAAGCCTCGCAGGGCAGCCTGAAGCCCACTGCTCTCATTAAGCCAGAAAAAAGAAAGAAAAAAATAACAAACCGTCATTTCAGGTGTTTTATAAAATATGTGAATCAGGAAATTGTCTATATACAAAACTGAAAGAATGTTGTTCTCTACTTAAAAAAACACTTTAGATTTAAAAATGTAAAAATGTTCACCTTTTTTAAATATTTCTTTATTTGAAAATTCATTATATAACATGGATGCATAAACACCTCATTTTATTTCAGTGTTAAATTCTGTTTAAATGAATAGATTCTAATTAAAAATGTCTCTGGACCTTTACTGGTTGTTGATTTTCTTTATTCGGATCCCTGCCCTATAGTCTGAGACCTGCTCCACTGTCTCCAGTTAGTGAACACATCCCCCCAGCATTATACTGCCAGTACTATGTTCCAACATCGGGATGGTGTATCCAGGGTGATGTTTGTTTTTCATGCACACTAGCTTTTAAAAAAGGTCAAATGACATAATTCAGATTTTCGTCTAAAATCCTTTTTAATATTGCTTTTTTTTTTTTTTTTATTCTCCATAAATGCCAGACTGGATTTTATAGAAATTATGTTCTTGCTTTTTTCAAAAGCAAGAATATAATTTTTATTTAATTCTATATTGGATTAAAATGTGGAGTTACCATCTGGGCTCTAAACGGTGCATAACACTGCAGATAGAGCAGTTCCTTCGCATTTAAACCTCATATAAGCTTGGCTCGTATCACATGACAAGAGAGCACTATACATCTTTCAGTAAAGAATACGTTTAAGGCTGTAATTAGACAGTCCATGTTTCTTTAAAATTATGGGTTTAACATATCTGTCCTATGTTTGGCTGTACCCAAAACCATGGAGCATTTCCACTAAACTTTATTTTATCTTTAAATATACTACCTGTTTAAACAGAGGAAAGAAAATAATTTTTCCGCAAACATATTCTCCTATTACCATGAGCATGTTGGCTGCTCCACAGAGCATTTTGAAATGCTCATAACAGAAGATAATCTTTTATGAACCAACTTTTTCCAAAACACATCTGTAGTGCTCCTTGGTCCCCGCAATGCTGTTTGGTCTCCAGCATCTCTCGTTCTCTAACAAACCTTTCCTGCCCTCACAGAACAGCTGTATTTACACACAGGTGGACTATAGACATTAGGTATATTTGGAGTTATAAAAGCAAAGGAGGCTGAATATAGATAAATAAAACCCTTTTCAGGTTTGTGCTTTATGTTGCTCCTAATAAAAGACATTGCCAGTTGGTATTTTTTTTTAGAATAGTATCACTGAGATTAAGTTACTAAGGCAATGAAAGGGACCTCTGTAATAATAAACCACTCTATGCTCTAATTTCTGCACCATGCAATCATTACACCTTTTACCAACGCAGGCTGTAGATTTCATCTAAGCTGCTGCGGACGGGAAACTCAAACCAAATAAACGACAGAGCAAACCCGCTGCAGGAAGGATTTGTTTTTTATTTTTCCATGGAGGACAAAACATTATTATATCCACAGTGATATATTTACATTAGAGTAGAAAACCTCTTATCGCTTCATCACAGTTTACAATTAGTTATTCATTGTAAGCAAATCAGTTTTGAACAAAAAAAAAAAAAACAGCTGTTTATGCGCACACATGTGAAAATATAACAAAAAGCAGCGATGAGAAGGTTTAACGTCAATAAAAAATGTTTACGTTCAAGTCAGTCAGCTCTTAATGTAAATCTGAGCACAAGTTGCATTTTTAGTCACAGAACCTCATTAAAGAGTATAAAAAATATGATTAATAAAATACATATTATACAAGACCCTTAATTTGTGTGCAGACACTACAGCCAACATGACTGTGGTCAGAATGTATGTTTGTAATTTTTCTTACAGTAAGTTAAAGAGAAAAAATAAACACACTTACATGACAGAAGCATTCCTAGAATGCAAATCATGGCTCTCTAATTTCATATTTCCTTTAAATGTGTCAAAGCAAAAGAAAAGAAATGAGGCATCAAATATTTCTTTTACACATCAAAACTCCAAGTGAGCTTTATGTTGCATCAGGTGGCGTGGCAGAGGCTGCACCACCTGCAACAGTTTAAATGGTGCAGCCGTGGCGCGTCTAGCAGCAGCTGTACCACAGAAGAACCGAGCAGCAATTCCCTGAGTTTACAACTTTAAAATGCACGCATACAAAAAAAAAGGAACAAAGAAGTGTGGTAAGGAAATACTTTTCGTCTAGTTCCACAGGAATGCAGATAGCTTCGCCTGACAGGTGGCGCAGGTTAACCTCATCTCCATAAAGACTGTCTTTAACTGGAATGTGAGGCTTTTAATCCTCACTTTGGCTGTGAGGGTTGGAAATCCTGGTCCCGCAGCAATGGTTTGTTGCTCTGCTCAGCAGCCATGGCCTGCAGGGTCTCCCTCTGGAATTGACGCGCTTTGTTGTACAAGAAGACTCCGATGAAGACGAGGACCGTGCCGGTGGCGCTGAGGATAGTGATCTGGTTGCTGAACACGATGACGCTCAGCCAAACCGACAGCGCATGCTTCACGGTGCTGGCGACACTGAGGAGGGGAGAGAGATGTTACTGCTGGTTTTTAAATGTCAAGCACAGCTACTACAGTTTCACACAGAGTAACGGCCGATATAAACAGCTTTACAGGTGCTGGTCATAAAATTAGAATATCATGAAAAAGTATATTGATTTCAGTAATTCCATTTAAAAAGTGAAACTTGTATATTATATTCATACATTACATACAAACTCATATATTTCAGATGTTTATTTTGTTTAATTTTGATGATTACAAATGACAACAAATGAAAATCTCAAATTCATCATATCAGAAAATTAGAATATTGTGAAAAGGTTCAAAATTGATGGCCCCTGGTGCCACACTCTAATCAGCTAATTAACTCAAACCACCTGCAAAAGCCTTTAAATGGTCTTTCAGTCTAGTTCTATAGGCTACACAATCATGGGGAAGACTGCTGACTTGACAGTTGTCCAAAAGACGACCATCGACACCTTGCACAAGGAGGGCAAGACACAAAAGGTCATCGCTAAAGAGGCTGGCTGTTCACAGAGCTCAGTGTCCAAGCACATTAATAGAGAGGCGAAGGGAAGGAAAAGATGTGGTCGAAAAAAGTGTACAAGCAAGAGAGATAACCGCACCCTGGAGAGGATTGTGAAACAAAACCCATTCAAAAATGTGGGGGAGATTCACAAAGAGTGGACTGCAGCTGGAGTGAGTGCTTCAAGAACCACCACACACAGACGTATGAAAGACATGGGTTTCTGCTGTCGCATTCCTTGTGTCAAGCCACTCTTGAACCACAGACAGCGTCAGAAGCGTCTTGCCTGGGCTAAAGAGAAACAGGACTGGACTGCTGGTGAGTGGTCCAAAGTCATGTTCTCTGATGAAAGTAAATTTTTCATTTCCTTTGGAAATCAAGGTCCCAGAGTCTGGAGGAAAAGAAGAGAGGCACTTCATCCACGTTGCTTGAAGTCCAGTGTAAAGTTTCCACAGTCAGTGATGGTTTGGGGTGCCATGTCATCTGCTGGTGTTGGTCCATTGTGTTTTCTGAGGTCCAGGGTCAACGCAGCCACATACCAGGAAGTTTTAGAGCACTTCATACTTCCTGCAGCTGACCAACTTTTTGGAGATGCAGATTTCATTTTCCAACAGGACTTGGCACCTGCACACAGTGCCAAAGCTACCAGTACCTGGTTGAAGGACCATGGTATCCCTGTTCTTAATTGGCCAGCAAACTCTCCTGACCTTAACCCCATAGAAAATCTATGGGGTATTGTGAAGAAGAAGATGCAATACACCAGACCCAACAATTCAGAAGAGCTAAAAGCCACTATTAGAGCAACCTGGGCTATCATAACACCTGAGCAGTGCCACAGACTGATCGACTCCATGCCACGCCGCATTGCTGCAGTAATACAGGCCAAAGGAGGCCCAACTAAATACTGAGTGCTGTACATGCTCATACTTTTCATGTTCATACTTTTCAGTTGGCCAACATTTCTATAAATCCTTTGTTTTTATTGGTCTTCAGTAATATTCTAATTTTCTGATATGATGAATTTGAGATTTTCATTTGTTGTCATTTGTAATCATCAAAATTAAACAAAATAAACATCTGAAATATATGAGTTTGTATGTAATGTATGAATATAATATACAAGTTTCACTTTTTAAATGGAATTACTGAAATCAATCTACTTTTTCATGATATTCTAATTTTATGACCAGCACCTGTATGTTTAAATCTGACTCCTGAAACCATTAGGGACTGATATGAACATTTTGGCTGATAGCTTTGGAGGGAATTTTTATTCTTATTGCAAGCAAAGAACATGTTTTGTAAATCGACATTTGAAAATTCTTTCAATTAAATTTTTTCAAATTAATAAAAACTACAGAATTTATTTGTCTTACTTCCAGGGCATGCAATCCTCTGGACGGGGAAATGAGGACACATTTCTTCCTGTCTGCATGGGTATATACACACAGTCCAAGGAAAATGTTTGGGCACCCCATTAATCTTAATTTATTTCTAAATATTTGGGTGTTTGCAACAGCTTGTTCTGTTTGATATATGTAATAACTGATGGACAGTAATATTTCAGTATTGAATTGAGGCTTATTGGACAAATAGAAAATATGTAATAAGCATTAAAACTAAATTTGACAGGTATTTTGAAATGGAAAAAAAACAAAAGAACAAAAAGAAAAACAAATAAGATGAGTAAAAAAAAGAAATAGAAAAAATAAGGGGGGACAGTGTTATAAAATGTCTGAGAAACTAAAATGATCACAAAAGCTTTTTATCTACTTAACTCAGGCAGCTGCCTCTGTCTGATTCGGTGGGAAAATATAAACCAGGGCTGCATCTAATCATTCTTTTGCTAATCGATTAATCTGTTGATCATTTTTACGATTAATTGATTAATAATCAGATTGCAAAAGGTTCCTTAAAAACAATTTTTTTAAAGAATTAAACCAGGTCAAACTACATCTTTTCTACTTGAGGAGTCCTGGATAGAGCATATTGACAGATAAAAAATTTATTTTTATTTTAAATGCAAAATATGTAGATATTTTTTTTTTTACAATTTTGGTATAATTTCTGCTCTAATTGGGTCGCTCTGTCAACTAAAGGCATATTTTAGAGTCTCTACTCTCATTTAATAATTCATCAATTACTAAATTAGTCAACGATTATTTTAATAATCAATTAATCACAGTTATTCAAATTAAATGTAAAACTAAGATAAAATAATACAGTAAATCTTTATGCATATAGCAGATTTCAAGACAGTGCTTCAACAAACAAAACAAACTAAACAAATAAGGAAAAAGCCGATTTAAAAAGATGCATTTTTAGTTGGCCTTTAAAAGAAATCAATGAGGTTTTTATTTAAACGTGTGAAGAGCACATTAGAAAAATCTAGACATGACGAAACAAAAGCATGAATTAAGATTCCCACTTCTGGACGAGAGACATTGGGACTAAATGTTTTGTAGATGGTAGAAACAGGAACGTTATAAATATTTTCTCTAACAGCTGCCATGCAGATTGCAGCTGACGTGCAGGTTTGTTGATTAGCGATAGCAAAGACAGGGAGCTGACAGTATCGGCACGATCCTGTGGAAAACGCCTTTGAAATCTGCTGACTCATCAAAAACACACAAATTTAAAGTAAAGAAGTGATTTCATGAGATGGATCCCCCTTTATTCTGGATAAAAAAAATAGCACCATCGTCTGCTGATCTCTTTATTAGGAGGTATTTTTGTTATGAGTGTAAAAAGTGATCATTGTTTTTATTTATTTTTACCTTGTATCTGCTTAACTGTTACAAAGAGATTCAGTTTTATCGCGGGTTTGGTTCTTTAAGCTTGTTTGCTCCTGTTACCTTCAACCCAAAGGTAATGAATGACCGCAACCACAAGCATGACAGTTTAACAGATGGTTTATTATGTTAAAACTCTTAAACCAGCAGAACCAGTTACCATTCTTTTTATTTTCTTTCTTTTCTCTTTGTTAAAATGTGGCAGTGTGGATTATTAGGATTAAGACTGCAGTGCACATTAGATAAATGTGGGCTTGGTATCTCAGGATTATTCTTGAACTCTATTTGGACTTTGGTGTGCAAAAGATAACGGTGATAGCAGGTTTATCTCATGAAGTAGGCTAAATAGTGTTTTGAATTCACTTCAGTATTCGCTCTAAGACAACATTTAAGTGGATCCAAACCGAGATGGTTCTGGGTCCGTTACCTGAAAGTGACGGGGGAAATGCGCCCCATCAAGGCGTAGGCGGTGACGCTCTGCAGGTGGAACAGGCCGCCGTCAAACAGCAGCAACAGGATTATGTCCTGACTGAACAAGAACCTCTGCCCTCCTTTTCCCACAGCTGGAAAATCCTGGAAGCACGGAAACAAAGAGCAGCGGCCTTCAACTCCCAGATGCTGAATATAACAGAAATTAAAGCATTTTTATTTTAGCTTTGGATTAGAAAACACAGCTGGTCTTCTTATCTTCTTATTATCAGCAGAGGACCTTGGTTGGTACCAATGTGCGCCAGACGCTGCCTTGCAGATTATATCTTGAAGGTTGATTTATTTAATTTTTTAACAGTAAAAACACAAACTTAAGAGTCAACTTGTGTTCAGTTTAGTGTAAATTTTGCTTTTCTTTTTAGAGGAGGAGAGATGGGGGTAAAAATCTCAAGCGGATGGCGGAGGATGCAGCATCAGACGTTTTGGGGGGGATGTAATTTGATAAGATGTGGATGTCTGAGGGTTATGAATCCTTTGGCATGTTTTTAGATAACCACTGGCTTTAGCTTAACGTGGACGTTTAATGTTTATTTAGCTAGAACAACATTTCAGATCAGAGGTTTTGAGTGTTTACCTACCAGCAGGAACACCCAGGCAGGGATCAGCATAATGACTGCTGCTGCGCTGGTGTAAAACTGCAGCTCTGGGGGGCTGAAAAGATGCTTCTTTAGAGTCTTGAGCATACAAATAAAAAAAATTTAGGCCATTTTTTATTTGTTTTACCTGAATCTGTACGTGTCTCCGCTCAGCAGCTTCTTGGAGAAAACGTTCTGCAGGCTGGGGTCAAGAAAAGCGCAGTTAGTTAAAGGTTACGGCGTGCTGAGGATGGGAGCGATGGCCGAGGTACAGACCAGTCCATGATGTTGGTGGAGAGCGCGGCGGAGAAGCCGAGCATGTTGAAGCTGATCTCTGAGGCCGTGCAGAGGGCCAGGCCGGCCATGACAGGAAACAGGGACAGGTTTACCCAGAGGCCTGCAGGTCGGACAACAAACAGAAACAATTACATGAATGATTCAGGGCTGCTGTCAACATGACACCAGTGAGCCGATTCCTCCTGGCTGCTCCACTGGTGTGACCAGATAGAGACTCGTATTGATGGTTTTTGCCCTACAGCTCCGGGTCATGAGATCATCTAGCATAGAGATGCAGGTCTACCTCAGTTTAAATCTTTAAATTATCAGATGTTTGGTTTATATCTTCGTAATATGAGGCCAAACCAATGAAATCTGATCTGCTACTTAACCAAACCAAGCTAAAAATACAGCTTTAACTACCGTTAAAGCACGTCTGCTCACCCGTATATTCTCCGAGGATCAACCTGGACATGATAACAGTAAATATGGGCGCCGAGCTCTTCACCGTCTCAGCGAACGACACCGCCACGTTCTTCAAACTCACTAATCCCAGAACCACAGTGGTGAACCTAAAAGAGCACACACAAGGATTTTTTGTCAAGTCAGATTTTTTTTTTTCCTCCAAATGGCTGATTCGGCATCAGCTGCTGCATAATGGTTGATGTGGTTTGAAGCACCTCATCAGCCCAACAAACAGCATGATCATGATGAAGTTGGCTGGGTACTCAGATCTGGATTTGTGCTTGTAGAGGCAGCAGGGAATGAACATCTTCAGGCAGCCTATGATGGTGGTGGACATCATCTGAACCGCACCTAAAGGGGAGGCAAGGAGAAATGAACAAATAAATAAATAGACGATAGTGAAGCTGTTAGTTTAAACAAACAGTGTCAGACAGCAACGTTATAATATACATCTGACACTTTAAAGGGCTTTACAGGAGAAAGCTCCTTCATAACCTCGAAGGTGTTTCATATTTATTCAAATTACAGCAACAAAATTCTGTGTTTTGTTTGTTTTCTCTCAATCTTTACGACATCCAGACCGGCTCACCTTGTATGAAGAAAGTCATCTTTAACAGAAAGCTGCAGTTAGTCACAGGAAGGTGATAAATCAGCGAAGAGCAAAACTGGACCTTCTGGTTTAAAACCAGGGCCGTAACTAACGATTATTTGATTGATCCATTAATAATCGGACAGCGAAAGGTTCCTGAAAGAAGATTTTATACAGAATTAAACCAGGTGAAACTAAAACTTTTTTGACTTGTTGAGTTCTGAATCAAACATATCGACAGGAAAAAATATCTTTTTATCTAAAATGCAAAATATTAATATTTTTTTTTCTACAATTTTTGTACAATAACTGCTCTAAGTAGGTTACTGTCAGCTAAAGGATTTTTTTTCCTATACTCCAATTAAGGATTAATCAATTACTAAATTAGTTGACGATTATTTCAATAATCACGATTAATCTGCCCTACTACAAGCTTAACAGCATTATACTGTGGGGCTAATTAAGGGCAGATTCTACTTCTACAACCGCACACATCAAATGTCGCTTGCGTCTGGTTGTGAACCAGTTTTGCTGGCATTCTTTTGCACCGTCAGTCTGGAATTTCTAGGGATGCACAGCAGTTTCTCGCCAAAGCGCAAGGGGGAGCCTACTGGAGAACTTGCAAGAACTTCGGCGGATGTTCACAAGAACTTTGTTTTGGCAGAGACTTTGGCATCTTTATATAATTTGTCTGATGCATTGTACAAGTGGTTGCGAACCTCCTTTTGTCGTAGTTGTCCATTGTAGTTGTTCCTCGGTTTTTAAAAATGGAGCGCCCCGGCACCGAATCGAGAAGGACGACCACACAGACAGTCGAAATTGTAATTGAAATGTATTTGAAAGTTAAGGAACTTTAAGTTTAGTTACTTGTTCATTTAACTTTAATGACTTTGTGGGTTTGATTCACAGCGGTTTGCTTAGTGTTGTACAGTTTATCATTTCCTTTAAGTGGAACTAATTTATGTAAGCTAACATGGTAAATGGTAAATGGCTTGTACTTATATAGCACCTTTATTCAGGTTAGGAGACTTGACCAAAGTGCTTTACACTACATTCATTTACCCATTCACGCACACACTCACGCAGCGGGGCTGCCGTACACTGGCGCCACCGGGCCCTCTGACCACCAGAGGTAGACATTGCAGGTGAAGTGTCTTGCCCAAGGACACAACGACACTGAAAGTCGGAGTCAGGGCTTGAACCGTCAACCCTTCGATTTCAGGACAAACTCCTACATCCAACGCCACTGTCGCCCCATTCAAATCAGTATTTATTTTTCTTCTTTTGGGTTTGTTTAAAGGTTTTTACCTGCTTCTGGACCAATTGTAAATATATCCTGACACTCACTAAATAAATGGAGGATAAAAGGAAGAAAACTGTGTGGTCCTTTGAGTAAAACCCATTGAACAAAGTCTGCATCAATTTATCCATCCCTTTTCAAGTAGGGAAGCTGCATAAGATTAAAAATAACTTGACACACACCAAGGACCAATCACAGCTGCTTTTTGTCTGCGCACTTCCGCTTGAGGTCTGCGCTGGTTTGCGACTGTCTGACGCGTCGTCAGGATTTTTTTTGACAGATTTGCACAGAGACAGATTTGACGGATGCAGAGGCTAAGCGTCAGAAGCATAAATCGGCCTTTATCTGTAGCAGTAGCATCTAAATACTACAGAGATCAGAAGCAGCAGAGCTGCGGTGAACTAAGTCTTCTCTGAGAAGTAGGTTCACCTTCCAGCATGAACATTAAACAAGCAGGCATTTTGTTCCAGTATTGTTGCAAGCAAAGAACATGTTTTGTAAATGTAAATCTGGAAAAAAAAAAAAAAGTGCCATCTGGAAGTTAAACTTCAAGAAAAGGTTTTGAGAATAACTTTGGTCCGTGTGGTTTTTTTTTTCTTTCAGAAGAACTATTTTTATTATTATTTTTTTTTTTCAAACCTTTTTTTGTCAGATTTTAGATTTTTTTTCTTTTAAATTTCTGTTCTGTCAGAAATAAAACAAAATGAAATATTAAAACTGGCAACAAATTAATTTTTCCAGAAAGAAAATATGGAAAATATAAAATCTGAGAAAAAAAATGAAATAAATGAAAGAATAAAATCTGAGGAAATGGCAAAGTTCTTTAAATACTTTTTTTTTTTTTATTCAAATACTTTTTCTCATTTCTATTTCTGAACTGGTGAAACCGTTAGATGGGAAAAGCAGCATTCCTACCCAACATGCTTGGCTCTCCCTCCAGCAGAGACAGGATATACTTGTTGAGAAACAGGGTGCAGAAGCTGAAGAAGTACCAGAGACCCAGGTAGGACATAGAGCGCCAGTTCCACACGCCGGACTCCGTCTCAATCATGGTGGTTTCCGTCACCGTTATCTTCAGCACCTGCTCCCCTGGCAGGCTCTCGCTCCGGGCCAGCACCACCCGCTCTTGCCGGTTGCGGAACGGCGAAAACAGGTCCCTGAGCGACTGTTTGGTTGGGGGTCTGTTACCCTGCATCTTGCCTGCTCAATAGATGGTGGGCAGGGAATAAGGGATGATAGGAGCAGCTTAAAAAGGGGGTTTGATGGTTAATCCATCTTCTGGAGTGACCATGAATTTATAACTCCTTTGAGCCTGCCTGCAACACAATTAAAATCCAATAAAAATGCAAGTAAATTCAGTGTATATGTTCAGATGCATAAAAATAACACAGTCTGCTAATTACAGCATGAAAAAATACTGTTTTGCAACCACAAACCCTAATGAATTTTATTGGGTCTCCATGTGATATATATATATATATATATATATATATATATATATATATATATATATATATATATATAAAAATCTAAAATTGTATCTCTGCTTCTGTCTCCTTGAACCCCAGTCTGCCTCAGCAGATGGCCGCTCACACTGAGCCTGGTTCTGCTGGAGATTTTTTCCTGTTAAAAGGGAGTTTTTCCTCTTCACTGTCGCTACAAGCATGCTTAGTGTGAGGGATTACATCTGAGTCAATAAGTCGATGTAATCAACTGGTTTTCCTTAGATAGAAAACTTTGAACCAATATGACTAAATTGTAAAGTGCCTTGAGATGACGTGTTGTGAATTGGCGCTATATAAATAAACTAAATTGAATTAAAATTTGTGGCAGGCCCTGTACGAGATGCACAGAGCTGCAGGGATGTTTTTTTTAATTCTAATCATGGCAGAGAAGCTTGTCAGAGAGAATGGATGAGCAAAACACAGGATGACCCTGAACATAAACATATCAGAGGCTATAAAAGACAGCACCGGGCCAGAGGTTTACCTTCCAACAGGTCAAACACACTAAACACACACCCCGGCTTTAAATCAGAGCATGCTCATGTGTCAGAGTGATCCAATCAAAGTCCAGTCCTAAATCTAATCACTAATCGATGGTCTTGAATATTTATGCCCACAGAGAGTCTAAATCCAATTTGACAAAGTTTGAGAAATATGAAGAAAAAACAGCCCTGTAGAAACCCAATTTTGCAAGATTTGCAGCTGTAAATAACCCTGCAAGGTGGGTGTAGTAAACATTTAAGGTGACTGAACAAACATGCACAACACACTGTAAAGCAGACAGCTACAGAAGATCCTGCCTGTATGCAGCTATCAACACCTGATTACAAAAATAACACATCCTGCAACATTTAGCTTCCCTTTGGGATGAATAAACTGTTTTTGAATTGAAGATTTGGACATTTGAAAAACATGTAATCCATCTGTTTTTCCTATAGAAACTACCATATGTTTTATTTAACTTCATCCTAAAAATAAAAACAAAACAGGGTTGAAAAGCAAACCTGTTGGGAGAGTTATGAACAGTTTTGCTACAATCCCTTTTTTTTTTAAACAAACTTAAAAGTTTCTGCAGGCTTTTCAAACGTTTAAAGCACCACTTTTATTTAATATAATTAAATCATTGAACATATCTGGGTCGTAAATTCTTGTTAACTAAAAGATATGACTGCCATTCACTTTATAATGTTTGTTTTCGCTAACTTTATTGCATAAACCAGAATGTGATCAAACAGTGGATGCCATACGAGCCACTAAAGCAAGGCTCTTTAGGTTTGTCATCAGAGATAAAGTTAAAGTAAACAAAAAGCACAAAAAAAAGACTTGTGGAAAGAACAATGAACTGTTGCCATTAGTGAATGAAGAGATTTTCCTTTAAAGGACACTGAAGACAGGCAGCTCTTACCTTTGGTTCAATCTGGATGCTTGAAGTCTCAAGAAGAGGTTTGAAAAACGAGGAAGCAGCACAAAAACGTTAGCTAGCTGTTTTCATTTTCTGCAACAAAGAGACTATTTACTGGATATAAACCAGCTCCCATGTTAACCATGCTACGCTACATGAGTCACAGAGGAGCGCTAACCCAACCCTAAACCTATCGTTGCACATAACAGCTTTAGACACCTTGGTTTTTTCAACGTAGCAGCTAGCAAAAAAAAAAAAAAAGATTACAAACTGCGTCAAGCTGGAGTTAAACAGCCACTGGACCGGAAGTGCTAATATTTGGATTCGCCTCTAACTGCAAATATCTACTCGCTGATTTTTTTTAACTGATTTACGACACACATTTAAGTGAACTGCTAAAAAAAATATATAAATAAATAAATAAAAAAAGGATGTGAACATAACGACCCGCTTCGAGATGCTTTTATTTTTTTAAACTAAGCTAGTCAGCTTCCGGTGTAGTTTACATTAACCTGACGTACCAGTAGCCTGAAGAATCAAGAACTTGAAGTTTGTGTTTAAACTTGCTCCATCATAAACTTTTTTTTTTTTTTATGAAATACCCGATCTTAAACTTAAGTGTTTTTTATTTTATATAAAAAATAAATTTTATGTTTATTCAAAACCTAAAATCTAAACAAAAATATGAGGTTTAAGCAGATGTACAGCACTCTATTGACCGCTAGAGGGCAGTAGGAATGTGAATCCAAACTGCCCATTGAAATGTTTTTTTGGGTTTTGATCTTTAATTTCTGTCATTTTTTCCCCCTGATCTTTGGATTGTTATTATTATTTTTTTATTATTATTTATTGAAAACCATAAATAATGAACTAAAAATAAACTATATGATCAAGAGAAACACATTGATGGAAAGAAATCGGATTAGAAAAATCTACCATTTATCATACTTGTGTCACACAAAAGGTTTATCTCTGTTAATGTTTATGATCATTGCTTAAAGCTAAGAAAATGGAGTTCAACTTCTCAGAAAATTTCAGGAAATTTAATATAAGAAATATTATAAAATGCAACAATGTGGTGCAGTAACCTAAAACGCACAATCTGCAGCCTTTACAATCCAAAGAGCCTTTTTGTTGTCAGTGTAGCTCACTGAACACATTTAAGGATGCAAATGAAGGAATATAGAACCATTAAAAAAAAAGATAACTTATATATACTTTTTAAAAAATATCTTCTATAGGATTTGTTTTATTTATCTCTGTGTATAGATGCATATAAGTGTATTCATGCAAAATACACTGCTCACAAAATAAAGGCAAAACTCAAATGACAAATAACTAGATCTTAATTAATCTAGTATTCCATGAATATTCTCATGGAATACTTTGTTGTGTACGAAGTTGAAAGTGGGGACAATAGAATCACATCGACATTATCAATGGAAATCAAATTTATTAACCAATGGAGGTCACACAAAAAATTAAATTGGAAAAACAGACTGCAGGCTGATCCAATGATGATGTAATGTCCTTAAAACAGGTCAGAATGAGGCTCAGTATTGTGTTTGACCTCCATGTCTCTGTATGACCTCCCTACAATGCCTGGGCGTGCTCCTTATGAGGTGACGGATGGTTGTTCTCAGGAATCTCCTCTCAGACCTGGACTAAAGCATCCGCCAATTCCTGGACAGTCTGTGTTGCAATGTGATCTTGGTGGAAGGATCAAGACATTATGTCTATCAAATTCAGATCTGGGAAATGGGCAGGTGGTCCATACCCTCAATGCCTCCATCTTGCAGGAACTACTGACATACTAAAGGCACATGAGACCTGGTATTGTCTTGCATTAGGAGGAACCCAGGACCAACTGCACCAGCATATAGTCTCACAAGGGGTTTGAGGATCTTATCTGGGTACTTAATAGCAGTTATGCTACTGCTGGTGAGCACATGAAGGGCTGTGCAGCCCTCAAAATAAAGCCCACCCCACATCATTACTGACCTACTGTCAAATAGGTCATGCTGAAAGTTGTTGCAGGCAGCAGATCGTTCTACAGTGTGTCTCCAGACTCTGTCACATGTGCTCAGTGTGAACCTGCTTTCTGAAGAGCACAGGGCGCCAGTGGCTATTTGCCTATCCTGGTTTTCTCTGTCAAATGAAAAAGTGTCCTGCACAGTTTTGCGCTGTGATCAAAACTTCCAATCGTGACTTAGACTTTTAACAACTTTTATTGTCATTTTTCAGTGTATTCTCATTATGAGTTCGTATGAAATCGTACGAAAAGTTATGCACCGTAATTTCGTATGTTTTGGACGTTTTTTTCCTCGTATGCGCATGCATAGAATATAAATTACAATTAGCCCTATCCCTAAGATATAAAACAGCAAGCAATGTAGTTAGAGACATGAATAAGTGATTATTGCACTGTTTTTCCCAGTTTTACGTCCGTCCGCGGATCTGCTTTTTTTTCCTGTCTGCCAGCGCATGCGCACTGATGTGGTTTTTTGAGGAAAAACGTCCAAAACGTACGAAATAGTGTGCATAACTTTTCGTACGATTTCATACGAACCTATAATGAGAATATGTTGCATTTTTAATACTAAGAGTGTACAAAAAAATCAAATTTTGTTTTGTTTAACTTTCACACAGTGAATGAGCAGCAGCTTAGCAGTGAAATTATCGCTTCCATTTCATAAAATGCAGCAGTGATCGAATGTAAACGGTGTGTGAGAAAAAACATATTTGGTTTGGTGTTATCAGTGTGATGCAGACGCTCGATTTGTGTCACCATTTCAGCAGTCTGGTTGCAGTGGGGAAAAAAGCTGTTACAAAACCTGCAGCAGATGCTGTGAAGCCTCTTCTTAGAGGGAAACAGGGAGAACAGAGTGGCTGTGTGAGGGTTCGCTGATGATGTTACGGGCTCAGGACACTGGGATTAAACGTCTTTAATAGAGGGAAGAGGAGCCCTGATGATCCTCTCTGCTGTTCTTACTACTCTTCTCACCTTCTTCTAGTCTGAGGCACTGCAGCCTCCACACCACACAGTGAGACATCTGGTCAGAACGCTCTCTATGGTGCTTCTGGAGAAGGTAGTGAGGATGGGGGGGCAGGTGGGCTCTCATCCTCTGCAGGAAGTACATGCGCTTTTGTGCCCTTTTGCACGCAATGCGGATCGCAAACAGATCAAGACACTTTCAATTTGGGAAGAAATTTTGAATATTTTTACATTTTATTGAGACATTAAATAAGAGGCATTGGTCACGGTCTCAGGTTAGGTGGTTTGAATGCAACAGTCTATCAATCTGTCTGCCAACACTGTTTCATGGCTAGCTAAGACAGGCTGCTTGTATTTATTTAGTTTTAATAGAACACATTATTCCTCAGTTTGAGCATCAATCCTTATATAGCAGTGGCATATATGGGCGTAACATATAAGTTATATGTTACGCCCATATATGCCGCTGCTAGAGAACTGACACAAGTGATACTCTAATGTCTGTCTGCACTATAGAAAATTCACTCACCTCTGCATAATAAATGCTTAAAGTGGCTCCAACAGCAGATTAGACCAACCTATTTTTTTGTTTAAGTCATCTAATTCCAGTAATTTGAGGCCCTTTTGGATGGATCCATTATGTGTAGAGTGTTGGACTTTGATGCTCAGGCGCTAATTTTATTCTAAATATGTAAGAAATAAATTAGACTAGACTGACATCACAGGAAAAAGACTCCACCCTGATAGATCCATGCTTTACAAAAAGGGGAAAGTTATAAGGGACACTTCAGAGATATGATTAAACTTAATTTTCTATTTAAAGAATCTCATTTGTTTTAATAAATGATACATTTAGCAGGTTAAGTTTGTCTAACATGATGAATGAAACGGTTAAAGTTAAGTAAAGGAGATTTTATTTTCAAATTGTTCAACAAAATAAACAGTCTGGGTGGTGTTCATGGTAGCAGTTGATAAGTATGAAAAAATCAGATTGATTGCTTCACCCTAACAATCTGAAACCACCAAAGCTAAATGAACACAGAGGAAAAAAAGGCTGCCAGTTCAACTCTTTCTGGTCTCAAAGAGGCCTTTGCGTGGGGAAGAGAAGAATCTCCTCTTCATCAGTGTGCTGGCTGCTGCCCTGTCAGGAGGAGGTAGTTGTGATGGAGGGTGCGTAGCTCCGTCAGTCTGCCCAGCAGGCGGCCGAAACGCTGCGGCCCTCCCCTGGCTGCTGCTCCAGCCTGGGCCCCGCAAACACTGGAGAGCAAGTCCAGGATCAGCTCCTGCATTTTCTCCACACAGCTGACCGCCTGCGGGGATGCTCGATCTGCACAGGACCGCACAGATGATACATGTTCAAACAACTGGAGAACATACATCCCAAAAGGATTTACACCTCCTAAACTTCTTCTGTTAAAACAACAAAGTTCCACATAACTGACAGGATTTTAGACCGATGCAAAGTGGAAGATCATTTTCAAAAGGCGTGTGGTGCATTTATTACTTATCTAACCCTCATCTAAGTTCAAGTTTGTTAAAAAGCATATTAACACAAAAAAGCATTTGCAGTGTTGGTCAAAGAGTTGCTCCTAAAGTAGCAGAGTAAGGACAAGACAACTAAAATAAAATGGAACCATAGTAAAAAATGAAATCTGCCACTGTGTGGAAGAAAATGTGCATCTTCCTGAATGTGCATTTGATTCGATTCAGTTTATTTTTTTATTTTAGCTCCAAATCACATCACATGTCATCTCAAGGCACTTTACAGTTCAACCAGATCACACAGTTAAATTGATTCAAAGTTTTCTATCAAAGGAAAACCAGCTGATTGCA